GAGATAATTCTAAGTCATATAAAGTTGCACATATCTGCTAAAGGACTGTCTGGATTCCCTGTTCACTAATACTGTCTTGCCAGGGTGAATTAGCTATAATAGGTTCCTATACTAGGCTATACATTTGATATATCTTCTTTACTGTGTCTATAAGAAACTCGCGATCACTTTGGATAAAAGTAGATGGTCTGAATCCTTGATTCTTGATATGCTTAAGCCATCCTTGAAAGGTAGGGATAGCTTCATCTCTTATACACAGGGTATAAACCCATCGGTATTGAGTGGCATTATCAGTGATCAGCATGAAATATCTTATATTCTTGATACCTGGCGGTGCTTCCTTGTCTTTACAATCTAATGTTACACCACCACCTGTAATATTAATGTGGATTTGTGCTAGAATCTTTATAGTATATAAAGCAGGATTCTTTATATTCTGTCTTCTTTATTTCGCTTGTCTACATATATTACAGAAAGCTAGGGTCTTCAGGTCTTTTATTTTTAAGGTCTTCTACTGCGCAAGCTTCAAAATTGCGCGGAAATAAATATGAGATAGGTATTGATACTATTCTTCTATAGTTGCTGATAGTATAGCAGCTTGACTATTCTTTTGATTATTGATTTAATTATTCTTTTGATTATTCTGTTAATTATTCTGTTAATTGTTCTATTGATTATTCTGTTGATTATTCTTTTGATTACTCTGCGTGGAGTTCTTCATGCGCTGATTTAATATCACTATATAAGTAATTGGTCGGATCTTATATAGATCTGAATTCTCTTCCGGGTAGGCACCAAGAGAAGCTTCTGTAGGTGATTTAATAAGGAAATACTTCTTATTGATATTACTAATTAGAGATATATCAAAATTCTGCTTATCTAACTGTCTGAAAGATAGCAAATTAGGTTGCATTATTAGTGCATATCAGATATCATAGATCTCTGTACTGTGTATAGATACTGATCCAATTCCTAGGATCTTATATGGATGGCCACCGGCATTATTAATTAAGGCATGAAAAGGCTTAAAATTAATAAATAGATTATATTTATTTGCTATATAAAAGTCTGCAGTAGTATCTAGAAGCTATTAAGGGTCTTTAGACTGTATGATTATGATTAAATTGGCTTGTGCATGGTTGCTGCCTCATAGGACTAATTCTGTACTGGTTGATTAATCCTTATTATTATTAGGTGATATTTTCGTGGTGTGGGGATTCCTTAAGTATTTGGATGCTTTCTCTGGATGTAGCTTCCAACAGTCTTTGGGGGTATGAAATCCTCGGCTATATACTTGATATAATATCTTTGTATGAATCAGCTTTTGATTATTATACTTGCTTTTGTCTTTCGGGTTGGAAGGACTTATTCAATATTTAGTCTTAAGCTTAAATTCTTGAGAGTTCTGAGAGATATATTTATTGGAGCTTGATATTGAGGATACTTAAGTAACTAGCTGATCTGTAAGAGTTACTATATCCAAATTCTTTATTGGTCCTCTGCCGCAGGCATAGAACTTATCTAGCTGATTATGAATAAAATTCTGCTGCCATTGGTCTAAGAAACAGATAAAAATATCATGAATTATATTATTAAAAGATAGATTTATTCAGCGAAGCTTTGCTATGATTCGCTGAAAATCACAGATCATTGCTAGATAATTACCTTGAGAATTGATATCTAATAAGGCTTTGACTGTCATAAGTCTCTCCTCTACTGCAGATAGGCCATATATTGATGTGATTCTAGTCTATAAGTCTGCTATAATAGTGGAATCTTTCCAACTGATTATTTCTTATATATGGGATGCAATTGATTGTAGAATCCTTGTATGTAGGGTCTCATTCTTCATTTGCTAACAGGCAATTTTAATTTCATTGGTATTGGGTGGCTCAGTTTGATTAAGAACTTCTTTTGCCTTAATCATGTATACATTCATTAAGATGGAATCATACTATATAGTGTAGTTCTCTCGGCTATTAAGAATAGCTGGTTTTCATGTTCCGAACTTAGTCTTAGCCAATTGTCAAATACATTCCTGCTTATGGTATGCAAGATCTAACTGATAAATCGCTGCATTTTATATATAGGAAGTATATTGACTTATTTCATTATATATAGATATATCTTACTGTGATTCTGTACATATTTCATATCTTATTTCTTCGCGTAATTGTTGTGCCATTTCCTTATATAATTGGCGGAGCAATTCAGTACGCATGTCCTCCATTATATTAGCCTGATAGTCTGAAGGATTCTTATCGGTTAAATCATTTGATATCTGATCTGTAGATAAAGGTGTCTCCGGTATGTATGATCAATTATATGTTACTATTTAGAAGGGTACTTGATTTAATTTAGCGCCTCTTAAGGCTTTTGGCGGCATTCTATCTAAAGATGCCTTTCTGTATAGTCCCGATTCAGGGGTAAATCCACGGTTTGGTGCAACCCCCCCACGTATAGGTATAGGGATGCGAAATATCAGTATAGCACGTTTCTCAGAGTGTCAGGAATCAATTCTGCATATCATTAACTAGCGAGAAGCTGTTTTCCTTGAGTCATAAGGGGTCATAACCTGTGGAAGCGAGTGTATGCTTGTTCTATTGGGTGGCCGGAACGGCCAAACTATCTAAATAACTAGCTTACTAAATGATGACTAAGCGAGGTCGACCAATAGGGGCAGGCGGCGTAGGACGTCCGTATGTTCCAACACACAACACCAAGGAATATCTCTGTATGATAGATTTAGATCTCCCCAACTTAAAATCCATGCGCGTGCGTCAGGGCATCATGGGCGGCTTGGTATTGCTGTAGTAGCTATGGTGGGTGACCAAGTGGTCAGAACTAACTCCAAGACTATTGGCCACCACCAGCATATCAATACATACGTTGCACAACTGAGACCACTCCTGGAGGCGCTTGAGATAGTTAAACAGAAGCTGGAACCTTGGAACCTTCACCAGCTCTGAAAAGGATACTAGATATAACCATGTACACTAATAGCTAAGCCGCATTAATGTCTATTTTTGCCCCACGCCATCAAAGTGAGCAAGCCCTAATTGTCAAGATTGATAATTTGCTCCAGAAACTATATGAAATAAGGATTGAGCTTCAGCTTCAATGGCTTCCTACGGATAGCGACAAGAAGGGTGCACAACTAGCAAAAGAGGCAGCGGCGCATGTAACCAGAGAAGACTGGCCATTCTGTCTACCTAACTGGGCGATCACTCATTTAAGATTCTCTATCTAGCAAAGGAATCGCGAATCTCTCCAGCATGCCCAGGTCCAGAACTTCTAGAGAACGGCTAGAGGAAATTACACCAAGAAGATTGACTCTGCCCTACCAGGAAATCATGTCCTACAACTATATGATCGACCCACAAGATACCAAACGACAGTACTGGCGCAGCTCCAGACGGGCCATATCCTATTGAACGCATTCCTGCACTGAGTCGGCAGGATCAACGACGATACAGGCAAATGGATGCAGGGACCAAAGACTATTGAACATTTCCTCTTCCACAGCCATCGATGGAAAGGTATGCGTGAGAAAATAAAACAACTGATGAACCAACACTTATAGAAATCTATTCCATGCTCTAGACAGCAAACCAAACCAGGAGTTTAGTAGACTCATAATAAGAGAACAGAAATAGTATATGGACTCTAAACATAGATGTGGTCAATGCTATACTTTGATTTGTTAAGAAAACTGGAAGGCTTTACAAAGACGACTGAATCACCATCAGAGGGGAATGAAGGTCACGTGTATATAGCTGGTTATGTCAGGGTAGGCTAGCTCAGAAGGCTACATGCAGCCTAAGGCCGCGCACAGCCGGAGAAATAATAATAATAGTAGATTTTGACCTTAAGACAATCAATCCCACACACGTGAGCTACACCAGCTCTATCATCTAATACACATGTTGTACATATTATATCACCCTTGACCCAGCTAGACTGCGATATTTTCATATGAACAAAACTCTTCTTGGTTTTTGCTACACTCAAAATCTTTAAAGTCTCGTCACTTGATCGCGTACTTTAAGTATCCGGTCATAGTGCTTCGTAGAGTACTTCGACAAAACATCAATATTAAGAGGTTCTAGGCGTTCGAATGCTTCTTTTTGGATAGTCGTCCCCTGTTCGACTTGGCACCTCACCGTGTTCCTCACTTATGTCGTTCTAGTTGTTGCTCTAAGCTCCCTAGGCTTCAGTGTCGTTGAGCCTACAGCTACTATGCATAATTAGAACAATGACGACAATATTTGTCCTTCTTCCAAGTGTTTATCTAGGACGACATGCTTCAAGGCAATAGTACCTTATGTCCAACTCCTGCCTTAACGTACACTAAGCATTGACCCTAAGCTCCGATGCGTTCATCCAACGACGTGTCTTTGTGGGGTAGCGGAATCTCTGCATCGCAAGACACGAATACATGACTAGGGTTGATTCAGCCACAAAGCAACATTTCCTCTTTCCCGGCCTCCGATAGTCAATATCACTACACGTGTACTGATTTCTAATGCTAGCTGAGCTAGGACCCTTGCCGATTATGTTAACTTACTATGACGCATATATAAGCCACGGAATCAGTCCCGCGGTGGGCCAGCTTATTGCTTATCACCCATGATTTTTGTAGTGTAGCCTGTCAGGACTCCGCCGGGAGTCCAGGGGCAGGATCCTCATGCAAATTTCCTTAATTATAATTCCATAGAGCGGAATAGAGCTGGTATAATTACAAAAAGATAGTTTGAGTGATGTAAGCATGGCCTCAAACAGAAACTTGCTCAGTAGGTAGTGGGTGGTTCAATAACCCATTAACTTGCTTGTTTGAGTATTCTCTGGCTAACAAACGATGGTCTCGACTGGAAATCAATTTTAATGAAACTGACTCGGAGATACTACATCATATTGTTGTGATTGCCACAGGTGGATTGTTCTTTTGATTCTTCACCGACAGCCAAATGCCCAACACTTTCCTGACGAACAACAACATAATGAAACCGGGAGAAGACAAAGACAAATACACCTCTTCAGCACCGGAAAACAGTCGTGTATCCATTGAGATAGATTCCTCTTCGAGTCCGAGCATCCGAAACGATGGAACAGCATCATTCAGCCACATGCAGGCAATTTCTACCATCGTCGTTCTAACAGGAGTCAGCTTCCTCAACACTATGGGATCGGGGATTCTGACTGTGGCTCTCCCGCGAATGGCGACCGATCTCAATCTACATGAAGATATCTTATTATGGCCCGCAGCTGTCTACGCCCTCGCCGCAGGTTGTACGCTGCTGCTCTTTGGCTCCATTGCCGATGTGGTAGGTGACAAACGGATCTGGTTGATTGGCAGCATTTTGTATACCGTCTTCACGTTGGCCTGCGGACTGGCGAGAACGGGGATTCAGCTCATTGCTTTTCGGGCATTGTTGGGTCTTTGGATCGCGATGTGTTTGCCCTCTGCTGTCAGCTTGATGGCGCGCAGCTGTCCATCTGGCAAGATACGGAATATGGGGTTTGCGTCCATGGGGATGGGTCAGCCTTTGGGATACTCCGTGGGGCTAATCCTCGGGGGAGTCTTCGTGAACACCATCGGATGGCGGTATGGGTACTATATCAGTGCTATTATCAATGCCGTCCTCTCTGTCGCGGCTTTCTGGGCGCTGCCTGCTGTTCAACAGTCCAGTGGGGAGCCATGGTATAAGAGGTTAGCTAGGATTGATTGGATAGGAGCATTGATTATTAGTGTTTCTCTGGCACTACTATCTTTTGTGATGGCGTATGTGATACTCTCCTTGTCCATTCTTCACATGACGGGACAAACTACTAACTGATTCTATATCGTATACAGTGAACTCTCGGGAAGTTATCATCGCATCGGCACAGGCTATGTCATTTCTCTTCTAGTCATCATCATCCTGCTAATTCCAGCCTTCGTGGCTTGGATAGACTGGCGACAACGACGGAGTCAACCAGCGCTTATTCCCAACAGTATGTGGAAGAATACGCCGTTTACCTCAACATGCATCATTGTATTCTTTACCTGGGCGGTCTTCAATGCCTTCCAGTATTTCTCATCTCTCTAGTAAGGGCCATATACTCCACTAAGGCTATCTGTTGGATTGACCACAGCTCGCAGCTTTCAAAAGGTCCAGCCTCACTCCGCCCTAACCTCGGCCCTGATGTTCCTGCCGCTAGTAGTCGTCGGAGCGATTACGAATCTCTTCACCGGCTATGCAGCGGACAAAGTCGAGGTTCGGAGTCTGGTGTTCTTCTCTGCCTGCATCAGTACAATCTCACCGCTGCTAATGGCATTGATCAAACCCAGCTGGGGGTATTGGCGGGGGCCCTTTGTCGGAATGCTCCTGAGCCCGCTCCACCCGGATGGTAAGTTTCTTGCCTCTATTTATTCATGAGTGATGCAGCTATGCACGCGGGCCATAACTATCATGATTCACTAAACTGGAAATGCAGTACTCTTTACCGTCTCAAATCTGATCATTTCCCGGGCCTATCCGGGTGAGAACCAAGGTCTTGCCGGTGCAGTGTTCAATGCTGTCTCCCAGATTGGCAATTCTGTCGGCTTGGCGATCAGCGCAGTCGTTGCCGCTTCTATCTCGGAGCACTCAGATGGAGATTTGCTGAAAGGGTACCAAGCCGCTTATTGGCTTATGTTTGCGGCTATGATAGTAGTTTGTGTTGTCAGTTTTGTGGGACTTCGCTCAGGAGGAAAAGTGGGTCAGAAAAGAGACTAGGATTATTCATGTATCAGAAATAGAAGAAAGAGATACACAAAATGACTGGTGGTTCTGGACCTTCGGCAAACTGAAAAAGAAACGAAGCCTTGTCAGTAACTATCCAAGGTCATTGATAGTGCCAAGGTGGTATTGTGATATAAGGTCTCTTAGACTATGCGGCAATAACTGTTATACTCCAATGGATACGTTTTGCAGTCAGTCCGTGACAATCAGTCACAGCATCCTATCTTAAATGGCAATGGCCAGCTTCCTTCTCTTAGTTATGGCTTTAGCAGTTGGGTCCGTGTCCAATTCTTGCCTAAAAGCCCTATCTTCCTTGTGACCCTCATCCGTAAACTTCCAATCATACCGCATGAGCAAATAGATAACAACTTTGATCTCATCCCCAGCAAAGAACCGCCTAGGGGCATGAGTGTTTGCCACGCCCAAAGACAAGGTGTTGCGGCGAAGTTATGACGAAGTGCCAACGGTTTTCCTGCCCAGGCTATTGACGCATCCCCATGAAACGATTTGCTTTGAACTTATGAGGCTCCTGGAACAGCTCTGTGCTGTACATCTTGTCAATGCCAACCGTTGTGAAGGCACCTTTGCGAATCAGTGTTCCGTCTGAGAGCGTGACTGGCCGTTATAGCGATTTGATGCATTGCCGCTTTGCAAAGAGTTAGTTCATGATCTAATTTTATTGGAAACCTTGAAAAAGCTTGACAGGACTCACCAATATCCTCGAAATCATGAGGCTATGATTCCTTCATTGTGCTCTCCATCAGCTTCAAGTCGTGCAAGGCTCTCTTAGACCACCTCTTGTCTCCTCTCACGAGACGATCTCTTCACGCAGTGGCTCAAAGCACTCTGTGCAGAGGTCGCTGATAATCCCGCTCACCAATTCGGTCGTGGTATGAATCGCCGCTAATGAAAGCCCGAGTTGTGCTGTCGTGATATCGTAGGGCTGACCGTTTGCTGCCTCGTCCATCCATCCAATCGTGTCGGCTGTCTTTGAAGTAGATTTTCCCGCCTCGTGTGCCTGTCGGTTGAGTTCGCGGCGATTCTCGATAATCAGCAAGACGATCATGTGCGCCTCATGGAGTGTCGCACGCAGATTACAGCATTGGGCCTGGAACCCGTGGATTATCGGACGCAAGAAGTGCCATTTCTGTAGAGCCCGTGTAGCTATGGCAATTCAACGGCATATTTTTTGCTTATTCGTAGCCAGTCTTCGTTGGTGCAGAGTTCTGGGCCGACGAAGACGCGTGGCGAAACGCGCACAATAAGCTGTAGTAGCTTCAGTTTGTATTCTATTTCAGCCCATGCTGTTATGTGAGGGTCGTCTTATCCTATTGCCTGAGCCGCTTCTGGAGTAGCGCACTTTCTGGGTTACCGAAGAGCTCATCGACGGCCTTGGATATCTCGTCCGCTAGAAGTCTGTAACGTAATATGCGGGACTAGTATCTATTGAAACATGGAAAGAAGGACATCCTACCGAGTGACTGCGTAAGCCTGCCTCTCACAGTGTCCGCGACGGCTTTCGAATTGCGATCCGCCGGAAGTGGTTTAAAACCGGGATACGATCCGAAGAACTCCTGGCTATGGACAGGCTACATAGCCGAGAAACATGGGCAAATGCGTATCGATAAAGAAAGAGGCGGGGTCTGTGAGTGGGATGTCCTCAAATACCTCCGATATACCTGGCCAAAATTTGAATCGGGATGGTTTCGAATGTCGTCCCCAAATCGGTTTGGCAGCACGGTTTTAGGTCCAACATCGAGAGGACCTCTGCAATATCAGGGCGAGACTCAATTGCAACAGCTTTAGAGATTAGCCTGTTCTCTCCCCAGAGGCTCATCACGATTGCTTCTACTTTCTGAAGGACCAGCAGCATTTGTTAGCACAGGTGCAGCTTCTTCATATGGTGACATCCTTGCCTGACGGTTTCAAGAAAAAGGCTGCAGCTGGCCTTCATCCTCGACAAGTGGCAATGTGCTTTTCAGGATGAGGTACTGTGGCCTGGCTTGTCCAACCTTTTTAACTGCGCGGAATGTGATGTTAAGGACCCATGTGGTATCTGTACCACTTCTCGATTGGTACTTTGGTAAACAGACTCGAGATATTGAGCGCAGTTTGGTTTATCTATAACAAAATATTGGCCGGTATTTATAAATAGGATGCATATGATACTATCAGAAACAGAAAAGGTAAGGGGAGGAGGGTGTATACTGAAAGCCAGAGAGATAGAATTCACACATTACACTGAGTGAGATATTAGATTACAACAGTATCCTTAGATACTCGTTAGGAATTTTATAAGATTCATTTATCCTCACGGCGCATGTTCTGCCTAATGCAATTTCACTCCGCCCCGTTATATGAGTCAACACAAGACTGCTTCTGCCAGGCTTTCTGAGTTGTCTTAAATAGGTAGCTAATATTATTCTTCGTGTCTACGGATGGACCAGACTTGGCATGGGAGACCAGGCCCAAGATCTCCGTCCACAAGTAGGTGGAGCTTGATAGTATCAGTCCCGAGAGCCGGCCAAATAGCCACTGTGGATAGCCGGAGTCGACAAAACGAAGAGATAACCTATCATATGTACGGGATACACTGGAGGATATATGAAATATCACAAACTGTATAAATTTCTCTCTAGTACTTTATAATACAATAAAGAAAAAAGAAGAACCTCAAGCCTCGTCTTTACATTCGCACGGAGCTATAGGGGAAAACCTCAGCATGGAGGACAAAATCCCATAGCAAGAGTGACACAAGACCAATGCCTGATTCATCAAGGCGCAACCTCACCGATGTTCAATCGTGCGCCTATTCTGAACAGAAGGTCAAAAGACAGGTTTTGGAAGTAAAGATGTGAGCTTGCAACTTACTGAGACGAAGCTCCTCGAGATAGACAGTAACATCGGTATCAGTGGTTTTTGCAGCCCACCCCAGTCCTTTCCGCCGCTTTTGAACGGCAGGACATATCTGGGAGTGCCATTAAATGCCACGGACATTTGGTATCCACCAGTAGGCCGAGGGGCGAATACGAAGCTCTCCCGGCTATTCTGGTAATTTGTGAGCATCATCCACCCATCATTATCAAAGCTTTGCAGGGTACCGGTGTTGACATTCATCATTCCAAATCCGTACTCGTCCTTGAATGTGCACACCCACTGTTGCCGCTCCTCACCCTGCCCATCTTTTAGGTAAACCCATCCATCGCGATCAGCTGTGAAAACCTGGGTTTGGCCATCACTACTAAAAGAAATCTTGTACTTTTTCTCTCGGATAGGGATAGCGGATCCTGATCTGATGGCTAGAGGACTGAGTATAAGAAAATCGAAAGACCGCTGGTCGACTAGAGCTGATACTATGAAGGAGTAGAACAATATCAGTGAGACTGTGAGACTTCCTCCTTGGATGAACTGACAGTCTCTTTATAGTATAGGTGTTCCATATAAATTAGGGAAGAAAAAAAGAAAGAATGAGCACATTTTGATGAACCAAAAAGAAAGGAGATACGTGCTACCTGCTTAACGCCATGGGGAGGCAGCTGAAGCAGGAAGTCATCCCTGGCTTGCCTCATCGAATAGCTGTGTGTAATTATTGTTGCTGGTATACCACCCCGGCGATAGTTGTCTCTTTTGGCTAATTGTTTTATTGTCTTCTTCAGAGCACATCGGAGTACAATGGCTGCGTTTCCTGTCCTCGTACGATGGACATATATGAGATTGAAGGGCCTGTCGAGATTACTGTGAGCAAAGCAGGCTTACCACCGCGACGTATAAATTCCTAATCTATCAACATGCAGAGATTATGGAGAAACAAGCAGGTTGCATGGGCCGACCTGAGTCTCCAGACAATAGAAGGCCGGCTGGCTGGATCGCAGTTTGTTTGTCAATACAATCTCAGCTCTAGAAACCGACACCACAAGCTGGGCCGTATGTATGTCTCCAAATCGAAATTGCCTCTCCGCTCACCTGTTTCGGGAAACGAATTACGACACAAAATCTAGCATGGAGCTTGGATAATGCATATGGGGGTTCTATTTGTGGCTACTAAGTAGATGTTCATTCTATATCCATGTAGTTTTCTACGACTTATGTCAGTTCCGGAAGTCGCTCGGATCGCTTACCACCAGCATAGTGTCACGCATATCCCTGCCCAACCTGTACATCCTCACCCCCGCCATACCAAAGACGGCCTCTACGAATAATGAGCCCTTGTCCTTGGCCAACAAGCCACTCGCCCTCAGCCTTGACCCCGTTCTGGTCAGGCCAATATTCGGCCTGTAACTTTTGGTTGATTTCCTCGATTTTATCAGTCAACTCTTTGACCTTAACAGGATCTATTTTAGCATCAACCAATCCAGCCCCTTGCTTCACAAAGCCTTCTTGAGTGATGAACCGAGCAATGGTGAGATGCGCCGAAGGAGCAATATACCGTGACGCCACCGGTACACCAGCCGCCCGAACCATATCAAACACGTCGCGACGGAGATGATGATAACTGTATGTATCATCTGCAGTACTCCGCCGGGCATCGGAAGCTTCTCCGGCTGCAGGGACAAAGCTAAGTGCCATAGCCGTAGAATCAAAGCTGACCATAGGCTTAATAAGGCGCGTGCGGTGAGAGAATGAATAGTCCGCTATCTCTACAGGGGATATGCTTTGTGACGACTGCAGAGTGTCGACAAGTCTGTCAATCTGGTCCTCGGTCAAAGAATGGGCTACTTCCAAGACGGTTATGTGCAGGTTCTCGGGGGGCATGAGCCAGAGAGCTGTGGACAATAGTCAGCATCTTGATTTGTTCCTAAGTAGAGGGAACTTACATGGAGCCACGCTACCGAGCGCCTTTTGCACGAACTTTATAAGATCCCGAACTGGGGAAGTAGGCCGGGCCCAAATGACCAGGCAGTTGCGAGGATCGACATATCCCTCTTCCCGTGCAGGGCCATCGAGGCGCATTAAGACTTCGTCGAGATTCCAGCCTGCGAAGTCCGGTGCCAGGATCTTCCTAGCTTGCTGCGTGTTTCGATTCACTCGATGGTTCTCGTAGCGGGACTGCAATTCAGCCTAGTGTCGAGGATTACTATGGAGCTCTCAACTGAAGACTTGGGCGCTTTTTACGTGACTCACCGCATCGTTATTTGTCTCCGTGATGAGAACTTGGAAAGGATTGTCCTCGCATGTTGTGAGGTTGGTCATTTTGTTTTAATGGTCTAGGGGAGATTTTACACGTTGTATGGCAGTAATGTGAAGAGCTGAAGTTCTTTATACTGGAAATGCAGATGCGATAAGGAGGAAGTCATGTCGAGGCTACGTATACAGCGTGGCGCCGGGTCGTGATAGTGGGTCCCCCTTGCCAAGCACTAGTAGATAAAAATAAAACTGAAAGATCACCAATGCCAAAGCGGTTTGCATATTAGTTCCCATGGCCATTGTCAGTCGCTGACAGAATAAACCAGCTATTGAGCGGACACTTCATGAAGAGGCAAGGCCGACTGGGTGACCGTCCTTGAATTCAACCTGCAAGAGACTGTCTTTCTGCTCGTACAGGGGTCTGATTGACGTATATCCATTCTATCCGAGGCTCCTATAAAGAGTTAGTAATAATCAATATATACTGGATGTAATTAATTATACACTGGTTGGCAGTATACTTGAAAAGCCTAACAAATATGAGCTGTCAGTATTTGTTTTTAGAGAGATAAGTGTCTCAACAAACCCGCAAATGAAAGAGGTTATAGTAGTATAAAGAATGAACCCACGATATTTAAAAAGTGTTTCAAATTAACTGTAGTAACCGCAAGTTATAACCCTTGACCGAAAGTGAGACATTGGATCGAAGGTGAACGAAGCATATTCCCTACTAATTTACATGCCCACATTTCCTTTACTTTACAGTGAAACCTTTTCTATTAATGTTCCGCTCGCTCTTAATGATATTCCCATTCACTCCATTAGACATACAGTGGTTCATCATCACTCCTTTGACTGAGCCTAAGTCCCCAGTCAGCCTAATCGACTACAATATCAGTTGAAATGAATTCTGGATTTGCTACAATTGAAATATCAAACAAGGCGAATGACGATCAACTTGCCGTCAGCCTAAGGACAAAAGATTATAAGAGAGCAGCTCCAGCATTTCTGAAAGTAGCCCAGATCATAGTGGGAAAGGAACGCTAAATCTTCTGGACCAACTTGCCATCCACCCTCAGCCGGGCCACAAGAACCAGAGCGGTTGAAACAGCGGCCGTTCCGTCCGCATAGAAGATTGCCGCGCGATAGGGTACAATTGAGGTCGCCCAGGCCGCATGCGTGGCGGCAACCAAGAAGCCCGTGATAGCCATGCCTATGTCCGCGAGGGCTGTATGTGACTATAACACTTTGAGATGTAGATGATACATGAGGTCCAATACACACTTTTGTTTTCATTGTCCGGTCTGTGCCTATGCTGCTCTCTGCAAAATAGTTGCCTCTATGTGTCTCACGGTCCTGGTAGCATGTGCATCCTATGCCTCGTCCCCGCTCTAATATGCTATGCCATCGACCACATTAATTATGATGGAGTCGAGACGCGGAGCGCTGATATGTTGACTTAATATAGGCGCAGATAGGCGGCTCGGGCGAGGAAAAGGATTAGAATAAACATACAAAGAAACATGGGGGCTAACAGAGTCCCTAGGGGCTATCTAGAGGCAGTGGCTAGACCACTGCCTAGGCACATGTGTCTGTCATAGTCAACGGCTCGATAAGGACGTTAAACTTGATTAATAATAATAATAATAACAAGTTACTAACTCTCGGGCGATTTCAAGGATCGTAATGTCGAACACATGTACTGGTGATGTTCAATTGACCTCTATATGTACAGGAACGGCCGCACGTGGCTACTGATCCATAGAACTGCAGTTCATGGTTGATTAATAGTCACCTTTTCTCGAAAAAGGGATTCATAATAAGTCACTAATCCATACTGAAACTATGAATACAAAGATAAAGTGATGTTGAATCACTTCCGTGATAAAAAAAAAAAAAGCAAAAAAATACCCCAGAGGACTAAAGCATTCCTCCCAAATTGCCCAATTATTCAGGCTTGGTTTCCACAAACGCCCTATTACTCGTTAGTTTTACCTTATCCTAAGTGCCGTGAGGAGAAGATCGAGCAACGAACCTCAACGCAAAACTCGCAGGGGCCGTTGATATACGCACAATCTCGATTAAGCGAGCACTTTGTACCACATTGATTATACTGTTCCCGAGCTATTAGCATAACATCGAATACTCGTATAGAATGAGAATACCTTTTTCCTTTCGCAAACCTTTGTCTCCTATCCGTCGTTGTTAGTTTGATTCAGACAGGGGTTAGAATATACACTCACTGGATTGCACCAACTGCACACATTATCACCAGGCTCAGAGCAGTCCGGCATGCTGCTTACGCATGGATTATTGCAGCCGGCCCTCTGCCGTCGTGAGTGAATACTCGAGATGGGCTAGGAGGAAGGCTATACCTTGAAAATGTTGCTTTGTTCCGGGTAAGCCATGGTGACTGTCAGAAGGGTATACATGAGATGAATTGGCTTCATTGTGGATTCTGGCGGGCAGAGGGCTCTGTTGGCTGTTCCAATAGGTGTAGTAGATGGTTGATCGATTGTCAGTAGAATTGCACCTATATATGGTTGTGCGTGAGGTGAGCTGCTGCCGAGGGTCTGTAGATCTGGCGATGTTCTCAGGGAATGTTCTTTCCAATCATTGTGAATTAGAGGGGCCTATATACTGCCCCTATTGCCCTTTTCAGGTCTCATGCATATCAGCAAGTGACGTATTGAATAACAATTTGGTCTGAATACGAGCGTTGTACACTTATCTCATTATATAGGTATCCTTGCCCGTCGTGCTTCCAGCTACTTGTGAAGGAAAGGACTGTGGTAGATTCTGCATGTATATGGCCGACCAGATACTTATGGTACATACTGGGAGCGATAGACCAGGCTGAGAAGTTTAGATTAATGGATAGGTTTCATATTCCGCCCCCGGTTTACGCAAACATGATGAGGTGATGTAGTGTTCTAACCTTGGTGGGCGTTACAGCGCCGCTCCATGACCGGGGTTGAGGCGCGCCAGAGACGTTGAACAAGCCGGGATTTCAAATCTTATCTCCAGCAACATTCGAATGGGTAAGCCTGTAAGCGTGTGGAACGACAGAGGCTTAACGATTCTATTTATATTATTCGTGCTCTAATTGGCTGGGACATTTCATGCGAGTTATTATTAAAATCATCTACGTCAAAATTCCAATGTAGGGTTACGGTGCCGCCACAAGTAACAGCCTTTTGCACTTAAAAGGCTAGTAACTAAAGTAAGTCGATAAGTGATTACCTGAGGAATCTAGCTGCTCTCTGGACTGTGGAATGAATTGAACAGTTACATCGATAGTTCCCTACTATGTACACAGGGTCTCTTTCTGATATCGCGTTTTAATTCTATCTCACTTGAAGGGCTCTTCTCTACGACTATGCAACCCTATTTCTCATACGAAACATGCTTGGATTTGTCGGGCAACCATTTGTCTTACGCGTGTGTATTTGATAAAAAAAGAATTTTGTGAATCTTTTACAATGCTACCTTGAACACCGAAGGCCACAAGGGCAGTATATTCTGACACTAGAGGAACTTCGAATGGACAAGACACGGTAAAGAATTGGTTTACTGCGTGACTCATAGTATACCGGGCTACATGATAGGAGCTATACTAAAGGTATGCAAGCAGTGTTCGTGATATATCCAGCTGTATCAATAGCTAGCTCGCAATATCCCTAGACTTATTATACCCCTGCTAACAGTGCGCAACATCACACCGTGTGAACAACGGAATTCAAGCAATCTGTAGGAGTGTGTTTACAATATAACAAGCCGCATTAGGTTGATAGACATACTTAATTTTGGGAATCCTGGAGGTTATTTTGGCGATAAAATCGAACGAACCGTAGTCCAACCCGTTCATCAGGGTCTCCATCAGCAGGCTCCCCACCCAGCGCTCAGAAAATGGATCTTGCCCTTACTAAGCCTAGTTAAGCGCGATGTATTGGAAGCTCGTTCGTTAAATGAATGAATGGGCGCCGTAACGCAGGATGCTGGTGTCTAAATTTCTAGGAGCCGAGCGTGCTGGCACTCAGTACCCTGTCATGGAGGGTCTGGTCAGCCTCACAACAATCTCGAAGATATGATGGCCCTACTCGGCATGGGACTATTCTCTTTCTCCTTCGCAGGGGTGGACTAGGCCAGCGTGGATGCGCGAGCGCGCAGTCAGCCGCCAGGATACTAGTTCTTTGATTCCAAATCGATGTCTAGTTAGAATGTTAGTAGCTGTGAATCACAAATGTTGAGTAGCCCACGGTAAGAAATACACCTGAAGGGTGAGTCAGTCAATTAACTTAACTTGATGGTGGTAGTATCAAGGAATTGTGAATAGCTGACGCACGTCTTAGCAAAGTGTGCAATTCGAAGAACGACCGAGGAAATTGTTGGACGGTCCGGTCCAAGTGTGAGTCGTGCTAATTACTACTTTGGCGTAGTCCGGTAAAGCAAACGCTCGAGCAAGGAGCTATCGCCAACAAGAACAGAACCAAGATTTTCGCAGCCGTCCACCATATTGATGTACTATTCTCCAGAGCACGGGGTTCATTGCCCATCTCAAGTTAATGGAAGGCAAGGGGGCTGGCTAAGCCCAATAGCAGCCAAGAGACCCTCATTAACATATTTTCAAATGCTTGCCAATATGAGAAAGAGTTTATTACTCCATTTCCTACTAGAGGGTGACATCTAGACATTACTTGATAGACCGTACTCCCATTTTCGTGCCACGGCCTGCTCATCCATTTCCAACAATATGTCCTCAAGAACACGAATACGTCCATGGTGGTACATCAGTCCGGAGAGCACTAGACACAGGAATCGAACTCCATACTACCAACAAATTTCCGACTCCTATTAATCAAGATCAAGGAACCGCTTGCAAATATTCTAAGCTGCTGTGGCCCTATCCAGGCATTCCCTAATCCATCGATAGATCATTGCATCTGTTTTCTGGCGCACCTCCGGGCTGACCCATTGTGAGCCAAGTGCATATAGATGGAGCTGGCCCCATTCGATCTCTAAATGATGTAGAAGGCCAGCAGCCTCGCAAAGCGCCGCCAAATCCTTCCCATCATGTAACGCGAACTCCCCACCCCCAATCATTATCAGGAAAGGGTTCAGGTCCTTGAAGTCAGACGGGGGGCGACAAAGTGGATTCACATCGGGTGAGTTAGGCGATACCCCGTTCAACCACGCTGCAACAAACTTAGGCATGGTCAGGTTCGCCCCGGCGACGTAATCAGTCTCAGCGAGTGCATTACCACCGACGTGGCTTCGTAGTGCCATGTCCATCCAGGGCGAGATCAAGACACTCCCAGCTGGCTGTGGCAGGCCTTGCCTTTTGGCTTCGAACGCACTCAGCACACACAGACCTCCTATTGATCGTTCGGTTAGATATTCGAGACCATTTGTGGGAGCATTTTGTAGCAAATGTTTCATAACAACGTACCTCCTGCAGAATCCCCCATGAAAATAACATTATGGGCGGGGATCCCTTGATCAAGCACGTATTGATATGCCTTGAGGAAGGCTTCCCGTTGCGCGGGATGCGGCGCTTCATCGCTGAGTGCTAGGTATCTCAATCATTAATTCACTAGCCAATAATTTCACCTGATGATTTGGGTGGAGATCTACCACTTACGGTACTCTACGCTGAGAAATGTAATATCCAGTCCCACGGCTGCTGCGCCTTGCGTCCACCGCTTCATGTAGTTGAGGTACATCCTAGCTTCTCCGCGAGCATAGCAACCCCCATGGGCATAGATCGCAATGCATGTGTTTGGGTTCAGGTCGCTGAATTGCAAGTCCTTCAAATTCTTGGTTCCGGGGATCACATAGCCAGACCAGTCCAAGCCGACTCTGCGTGCTTCGTTAGACGGACAATCAGTCACAGGCAGGCGGTGGACGACCTCAGGGAAGTAGAACGAGCTTGACGCCCAATAGCATCGTTGTAGCTGCAAGCGATATGATTGATAGTGAGGCCATCCGGGAAGTAGGGCCCGTTTGAGAGTGACAATGAACACCTGTGTGACAAAGGCATGGATGAAGCGGCACGAGCGGATAGGGTTCCGCAGGAGCAATTTCCACAGCTTCACCATCTTGATGGGTGTGATAGATAAAAATCCTTTGAGCCTGTTTTGTAGTATCGAATACTCGCTTCTCTACGAGGGAGTTTCACACAGAATCTGTCGATACTAGAAAGAGAACTGATTGTGGGATTAAACACTTGGCGGCGATAGCATGTACTCGGTGTCGGGAGCAGCGATACTCCTCCCCGCCATGATTTTGCTATTACAAAGCGTAGAGAGCATCCCTGTTCGACCTAAGTGAGGTGGAGTGGGGAACTTTGAGGAGAAGTATACTTGTTACCTCCCACTGGAAGCGTCCACTCTAAGAGCTACATGGATAGAAATCCGCCATCTACCCGCTCGTCGCTTGATAAAGCTAAAGCTACTTCTCTTACTTGGTATCTTGATCTTCTCGGCCAAGTCCCAGGTCTATCTAGATAAGCAATGTGGTGGGCCATATGTTCAAGTTAGATATATACCCGTTTAATGCAGTAGTACTTTTATACCGTGTTAATTATCTTTGTCTCTAAAACAACGCCGGCTAATTGTGGGCACACGCATACCTATCCGACCCTCCATCCACGATTCGGAGGGAAAGCCGAGGCACCTCGGTATTCATTGTGGGATATCTCCATCCGACGCGCTAACACAATAAACATAAGCACCCGCTTTAATTAAAGAGAACCATTGAAACCTGCATTACGGTGTCCGATGTTGACTGTCCCCGAGAAAAAATGTCCGAACCCAGCACCCACCCAGCACTTCAGCGCCCCTCGCGATCACTGCACGGCAAGGTCGCTATTGTTACTGGCGCCGGAGCAATTCCAGGAGGAATTGGGAACGGGCGCGCGGCAGCAGTCTTACTCGCAGAAGATGGATGCGCGGTGATTTGCGTCGATCTAGATCACAGTCTGGCTCAGGAGACCGTTGATATGATTGAGAAGGACAACATCGGGACCGGCACAGCGGTTTCAGCGGATGTGACCAAAGCTGAAGATTGCCAGCGTGTAGTTGACTTGGCCACATCTAAATATGGACGGCTAGACATCTTGGTAAATAATGTCGGCATAATGGGGCCGAAGGGCACCGCAGTGGAGGTCGATATGGCGGCCTTTATGACTGGGCTAGAGATCAACGTGGCCAGCATGGTACAGATGGCCAAATATGCGATTCCAGCAATGATTCGCAACAAAGGTCAGTGCGCTGGTGCGATCGTGAATATGTCAAGTGTTGCTGGGCTGCGAGGGGGTACGCCCAATATTTTGTATCCGACCAGCAAAGGAGCCGTTGTGAATATGACACGGGCCATGGCGGCTAATCATGCCCCGCAAAGAATCAGAGTTAACTGTGTTTGTCCAGGTGAGCATATCTATGGTATTATTCTATTTCCTCTTTTACACTGACCCGGTCTTGCGTGTCTACTAGGTATGGTGTATACACCAATGATATATGGTGGCCAAGGCTTGAGCGACAGCGAACGCAATGCACGCAGGTCTCGCAGCTTGCTACAGACGGAAGGCAACGGATGGGACGTGGGATGTGCCGTCCGATACCTAGCCAGCGATCTTAGTCGATGGGTCACAGGGGTCGCTCTTCCAGTTGATGCTGGCACAACAGCGGCCACCGGTATTGGAATGCAGGGGCTACACGACTCAACGATGCAGGTATCGTAGAATAGCCCTTCGAAATCAATATCATGGATCATACAATTGTATCACTGAATCTGCGGTCTAGAGGCTGAGTCTGTTAGACGATGCGGAACGAAATAATTTAATCGGGTTTCATATAGCCACCCCCCTATCACAACGTAGTATACTAATACTACGCTCGGTAATATGGAGTGATTGACAGGTGCGACATCTATTATTCCATATAGAAATATATCTGTCTCAGTTCTACTTCGCCAACTATAATCTTTGATTCAAGGTAGTACCTGCGATATTGCTTACCTCAATATAGGCTTGTTGCCACGGAGGTATTCCTTGTTAAAATAGAATGGCTTTACGCTCAGAATAGGAATGAAATCGCCAAGCAGTTGAGACCATCTCAGTTATAAGATGCAGAAATAACACATCTGGTCCATAGTGCTTGTCCGTTTAAAAGTGTCTTTAAGTTGGAGGGGCGTTAAAGCCAATCAGTATTTCATAGTCAATGATTACTCACAGTAGGTATTGTTCGTGATCTACTCGTGTATCTCGCGTATCAGAACTAAAGCCCTTCATCAAAGGCATGACTATAGATAAACATAGACAACGACGAATATGGCCATAGCAAATATTGCAAACATTCGATTGAGATACGGCTGGAGCTGACAACTATTAGAGCACTTAAGCTCGGATACTTAGTGATAAGGACAGCTCTTTCCAATCGGAACTTTGGTTGTCGGATGCATAGTCAACAAGTCCTACACGCTGCGGCCACCATCAACCTAGGATAGTCACCTGAATCAGTCCCTCATACCACCCACCATGTAGTATCGTAGAGGATCAGTAAACATACATCAATGATTGTGCCTGTTATATAGTCTGCCTCGTCACTGGCCAGGAAGCATGCTGCATTTGCAACATCACAAGGTTTGCAAAGCCTTCCCATTGGGATAGTCTCTAGAAATTTGCTTCGGGTCTCCGGCTGAGACAGAAAGTCCTTCGTCCTACGTTCCTCAGAATGAGATCAGCCAGGCCGTAGTGGTAGTCAATAATGTGGAGGAGCCTGGTCAAACATACATATCCGTAAGTCCACCGGCCGGATTTATGCTATTGAATCGAATCTGCCTTGGTGCATACTCTAACGCCATGGCGTTGACAGCGTTGATAATAGCGGCCTTAGAGGCTCCATACCATGTGAATCCCGGCCGCGGCCGTCGAGCGCTGGCCGAAGCAATATTAACGAACACCGCGGGCTGGTCACGTCCAAGGAAATAGGGCAGGATCACATTGGAGCTTAAGAAGAGAGACTTCAAGTTAATGTTGATAAGCTTTTCGAACTCAGTGTCTGTCACCTCTTCAGTAGGCTTTTGCCCGTTGCAATAGCCTGCGTTGTTCACGACAATGTTGAGTCCTCCATATACGCGTACCGCCGTATCAAGAAGGCTCTGCCAGTCCAAACGCTGGGTGACATCCGCTTTCACAAAGGTGCAGTCCAACCGACTGGCAACCTTGGCTCCGTTGGTATCATCTACATCTCCAATCACCACTTTAGCCCCCTCCTGCACGAATTTCGTCGCTATTCCCTCTCCATACCCCTTACTGCCACCAGTGACGATCGCAACTTTGCCTTGTAGTCGAGCAGACATTCTGAATGCAGCAGGATCTGCGTGTATGTCAGCCGATCTGCATAGGTTTACGAGTGGCTCAAATTATGTCTGAGTAACAACACCTCATGATTTTACAGGTTTTCAAAGCTGCCCCTCCACAATATGCATCAAAGTGGGGATACCCTAGCCAATAGTCAGCACGGACGGTACCCGGTAGTGTTCTGACCTCTACACAGCAATTCGGAAATCTCACACTTGATAAGGATTTGCAGGTTAGTAGCCGTGTTCATGCACAATTTAACCTTTCATTAGAAAATATTGGCGTTCGATGTGGCACCGCTACATCTTCTGAGTGTTCTCCGCCTGTCGCTTAGGGCCTACTTGACTTAGAAACAGAATCCTAGGGCCTAGGATTCAGTTCGTACCCCAATTTGTTAATCCAGAATAACCTCCATATGACATCTTCGCCCCAACCCGTAGCCACTACAGGTTTTTTATTCCGCAGTCCAGGACCCCAAATGTATGCCGAGATGCGTAACTGGCTGCCTCAATCCGCGTCTCGTGCATGATATGCCGGTAAGAGAATGAGGATCCGTCATTAGACGGAATATACATTCAATTCCCATAACTATGCACGACCTTCTAGGAGGATGGCACCAGTGGAAAGTATGACAAACGCAGACAACAGGGGTAGACAACAACACGACCGTAGGTGGCTGATCCAATAGGGCGGCGATGAGGGCAGGTTCCCACAGATATCTGTACAAGGCTACAAGCATAGTAACTACCTAAGTCATGTACCCTACCTATAGGGATCTCTAACCGGCAAGCTAAGTACCGATCAGGCGCCATTACCAATTAGGTCCCCATAAACACGTTAATAGGTCACATTTGCTGAATGATATGCGTGTCCTATTATACCGCCATATTGCTCCAAGCGCCGACCAGTATGGGCTGAAGATATGCATGAAAATGTAAAACTTCCATCACGCTTCAGCCTCGCAATACAACTGACGTATCACTCGTCACATATAATTAATCGTTAGATCTTCCATGTCACTTAAGATAAGCATTAATATCAAAGGCTTTCACGTACTAGTAATGAAGGTACTGGCCACATATTTAGATCTAAGGAAGTTATAGATCCTAATTCATGATTGGTGTTAGTAATACTGCATGAGTTACGGAAGAGTATACAGTCAATGGTAAATGTAGCTACTGCTCTCTCGCCTCGTTGAGCAGCCATATCGGTGGCCATTGGAATGCAGTCGGCGAGCTGACAACAGCTAGCAAATATTTGCATAAAGGAGAAAGAAACAAGCACATGCACCCATTTGAGACATCCTCTGTGCTTATATTCTAGCCTTGTCTGGAGAGCGTGTTGAGCAACGATATGTCGAGACCTCTGATAAAGTAACAAGGTGGACTCTGGGGTATAATCTTCTAGTTAACTAGCTACATGACGAGCTTGGTACCAACACCAACTACAAGCTCTTAATCATATTCTTACGTTTCTCTATCTTCTCACTGTTCTTGGTATTTGCTTGGGCGTGCTCAACTTTTGATTCGAACTTCAGTCTTCCAGCCACCACGGTCAATTTTGTTTCTGCGCCCGACCCTCGGCGAACGCTGCAGATTCTGTGGTCTTGCCTTTTCACCATTTGCTTGAACATAGAGTGTTCTTCACTTCAATGTACCACGGTCCAGAAAGCCAGCCAATGAGGGCCCCGTTATGTTCACTGACATAGAAGCTCATGAGCAGTGGCTTCTAGGCCCAAGTCATCAAGCCATGTCAGGAATTCCTCCCTGGCTTCAAACCCAGCAACGCTCGGTAATTTCTCTTGTATGTTAGGACCAGATCCATGGGAATAACGGATGGGGAACTCTATCCGAGCACCACCATCACCATTCGTTATTTGCCCATCTAACGGATAGTCCAGTGTCTCGTCCAAGAGACTCGTCATCGCCTGTGTAGCCTCTACACATACCTGATATGTATCACTGGTGGACGGACTTGCACCCTCAAACCAGGATACTAGCAGACTCAGTTCACGGATAATTTTGCACCGAGGGGTAGAGCATGGGAGTAATACGTTGGGCAGGGTACAACAATGCAGCTCAGTCGCCACGACCCCTGCTGCCGGTACTGCATAAAAGGAAAACTGAATAATCTTGGGATAAGCAAGGAAAAAATAAATACAGCGTTCGGGAGCCTTACAATCCATGTATACGGCTTTCGAATGCTGGCTTCCTGCTCACGAAGCTTCGTATAATCGGTGACTGCGGAGATGATCTGCATTGCTGAGTCGAGAAGGTCTGTCATGGCCTCGGGCATTTCACGGCATCGGATACGCTCTACCTGAATCATTGTGTAGAAATACTCCAGGTGGATTATCAGACTGATGATGGGCTGGTTCGGCGTACAGGCACCCGGGATTGCTTGATGTAGTGAAACTGAGACGGGACTTTGTCCCACAGGCTTTTACATTCCTGATACGGTAGCCCTACAAGCAGGTTAGCCCTCGCTCTTTGTAGAACAGTCTTTATGCATTGCTGCATACTGAAGTTCCTCACTAAAGGTCACCGACCGCCGACCAAGGGACAAGCCCATAGCTTGTTCTCGTGACGCAGTGACTATATATCGCAATCGGATCACTGTTGCGGGACGAAGCTTGGCGCTAGAGGTTGCCTCCGCAATATTCCATCCCGTCTGGTCCCACACTGTTGGTCGATCCAGGAGAGGGAACCATGATTGTGGACCAGACTGTCGTCATCAATCCAAGGGTAGAACGACGCTGCAGTAATAGTATAGAAGTCGAGGGGGGCTGCCGAGGAATGTGGCCAAGTTATTATCGGTGCGATAGAATGCCGCAAACACTCTCTTACGAGCCTCCGAGAGAAAGAACGGAACCGATGAGCTACTTGACTGCTGGCGATGTAGACCCATCGCATGGATATAGGAGGCGAGATCACCAAATCGCCCATAGATGTGACGACCTGAAAGATCTTAGCATTCTCCGTCAAAGCTCCTCCTATTGATCAGAATATGATGTTTACTTCTTTCTCCTAGGGTGGTCGACGCCAGTACAAAGTACTTATATTGGAGCCCGACAACTAGATACTAATCTTCAAGAGCATTGTAGTGCAATCGGCGGGTTGAGCTGTTGAGTGACCACCTGACCAACGCAGTTCTCCAAGACCCCCGTATATATGGCAAATGGTGGGAAACTGGGTAAGCTGGTATGGGCTTTTATGTTCCATGTCCAGGATGTCAAAGTGTCCTGTTGTCCATAGTCTACTTACTGGGTTGCGATACGAGTACCCTGGCGTCTAACAAAAACTTCATTTGCTTTACTGAGTAGGCATGGTGCCACAATAACAGTATAACGCCTGTTGCTTTAATGAGACAGGTTGGTAAAACAATAAATTAGGAATGCTACATAGATTATACTTGTAGCCTAGGTTTATTCCGACCTACGTATGAAATAGTGATTGTTTATCATCTGTCCCGAAGTACACTTTCACTCCTCTTAGCATGCTTTCCAATATATATAAGCTACCCCTTTTTACTTAGCAAACCCAATCCTTACACTACGCACACGAGGTTGTTGTCTACCGCTTTAAACACTCCATCTAGAGACTGTTAGCTAAGCTCAAAGCAGTCCGTTATCCAGTAAATAGTCACCTTAGTTAAATGTCTTAACAGCCGCTTGCTTGTCTGTTCCTTCTCGGGAGGGTAGTAAGGCCCCGGGCCACATTATTGCACGCACATTCGATTCGGAATTGGCTAGCAGAGAGCTTTCGCCATTTACAGCCCCAGCAAACACCTCTCTGAATCCCGAATCCACTATACCTGTCAATACATGCCCACAAAAGCGGCTCGAACAAGAAGATATCCTTACTTTCCTTGTGCGATAAGCTCTTCCCGTTCTGCATCCCAGCCAAAACAACGATTTAAGACCAGTTCCGAATGGCGTTGTCATCGGCAGCCGCAATCTCCAATCAATCTTAGTGGGGGTTGAGGAGGCAGCACTTGGGGCGGTAGAGGTGGTGGTCCGAACACGACCGATCCAAGCTCGGGTAGGCTCTTAGATGGAGCGGCGTCGGTCGGTGGTTCGCGCCGCGTGACAGGTGAGTGTGGAGGCACCCCGGCCTCAGGAATGCTCTGTTCAAGATCTTGTTCGGGAATGATATCCCGTGGCGCTGCTACTGCGGGTCTCTGTAGTTCGGGTGGTATTGAGTCTGCTGCGGTGATTGCTGGTACGATCCGGATGTTCGAACATAATCGAATATCTCCTGTGTGTATGAACTTGGTGTCCTAGTTAGTTGGTTTGAGTTAGTTCCGGCTTGAGCCCTGGTCACTGCAGCTGATGGGTAGAGAACAATTAGGATTAGAGGGTGGAACGTTTTTGCCCCGCGGAAAGGAATTGTTGACAATACCATAGGGTGGATTGAATATGCTTGTGAATAAAAACTGCAAGGGCCTCGAACCGCATTTATAAATCTCGGTGTCTTTTGTCGTTGATACTTAAGTAGGCCAAGATGCATGTTCTTTTCTTTGCCAAGGGCCCTCAAGGGGTATCGCGCCACAGCGTCAGGGGGTAGTCCATGACCTGAATTCGAGTAGCAATAGTTGAGCTGTACACTAGAATATGATTGGAAACGATACATATGAGGAACGTGGCAAGCGGGGCGAATGTTGCAGTGCGACTCTATATCATGGCTTCACAAAGAGAAGCAGATAGCACCTAATGTGCTCGGATCCGATATTAATTTCACTGTACAGGTATTGCACAACAAACCCTTGAGCTTCTATGTCTTATAACATCTGGTCCATTCATTGTATGTATTATATGCAACTGTGCTTTTGGCCATACTGGTCAATCTGATCTCTGTGTGTTTGTTTACCCCCAGAAAGCACTGTGGCTTATAGTCAAGAGGGCTCTACCACTTTCTTTCTCTAGGGCTGCGCTCATCTATATCCTTCCAGAGTTACTATTAACCACTTAATCCGAGTGGTGGCTATAGAGCTACCGCACATCCGTCAGGCAAATTAAGAATCTAAGATAAATAAGAATGAGGGAAAGCAAAAATAGACATTCGTTTTTGCTTTCCCGATATTCAAACAAAGCAAGAGTGGAGGACGGGGGTTTAAGTGGTGAAAATGAATATATAAAAAATTAGTAGTCACGCCCGGGATCGAACCGGGAACCATCTCGGATTTGTAAGTTCACTTATTGTGAACGAGATATCATAACCATTAGACCACGTGACTGGTTCTTGTTTACTCTGCGACTCTCTTTGGAATATGAGACAGAAAGTATATAGAATTTGAAATGATCATACAATCTAGGAAATGTATATTGAATACGCCCATGAAATTACCTAGTATCACAGGTACCTGACATATGCCTGGTGGATTGACCACCTACGGAAGTATGTGGATTGTTGAATACTGTGGTGATCAGGCCACATATAAACGGCCTCATGATTCCCACCTAGATGGGCCTTAGAGATAGGTTCATAGGATCGAAAAATCTGATCATTTTGATATCGTTTAATATGAATAACTTACAAGCTATTCCACAATGTACAACTCCTTAGTGATCGGATGGTATACATATACTATTACTATTGAATATACTCTACTACTTCCAGAGGTCGATGTGAAGGTGAGAGGCTTGAATATTGTATAGCTACTAAAGTTGGGTTGTAATGTGTGTTACTTCTGCGCAGAAATACTTTATTGAAATATATATCTGAGGCCCCCCAGGGAAGCCGGTCCTTATTATAGCATTACAGGTACTTCTCACCAGGGGTGGGCATAACAAAATAACACAAATCAGCACAAAAAGAATCACACGATTAGAATTGCAACCACCTATTCTCCATTGACCTCAGCTTAGTTGTTCTTCATTCCTTCGTATATGGCCAAATGGGCTTTTCGATGAGCTTCGCGACCTGGGGAACTCTCTGCCGGTTTGAAAGGCTGTGCCGCACTCGGAGGATCAACCGTATATTTGGCATGGTCAAAGCCAATCATGAGGGTAGAGCCAAGATTTCCTAACAATCCATTGTCCTGATCCTGTTCCACATATTTATCGTGGCCCTCGGGGAGCAGAGCATTCGTCAATTGCCTTTTGTCGACAGCTATATACAGGAGTCGCGACTGTTAGTACTGCACCATCTAAGATCTAAGACTAGGGATATGACCAAGAGAAGGTAACCATACCATTGTCAGCCATAGGAGCGGCGGAGATGATCGGTGCCAGTAGCATGGCCGTAAGTGCTAGGATAATCTGCATGGTGGTAACTTTGGGATTTTCTTGGAGTAAAATTCACAGTGGAATAGAGTGAGAGATAAATTGACATGGTAGCGTGAAGCTCATGGTCTTTTATATAACACGGCCAGAGAATCCTTTGATTGAATTTGTGGTAACTTTGCTAGCAGGGTATCATCTGCTGCCTCAAGATAAGACCTCGCTGTAGACTATTTCAAGATCGGTGTTCACTAATCATAGGTGCGAGAAAGGTTTGGAGCCCCTAACAATATATCTCCAGACGAGTGTTTCAGGTGGACCAAAAATGGGCTCATGTTCCACCATGCTCAATTCACACACAAAAGACTCTAGAATCGCCAGGCAGGCAGCATTCTACTCAAACTTTTAGCAAAATAATAGCACCTTGCAAGATTTAAGTCTAATAGCAATCGAGCACAAGTGTGAATTAGGCTGTCTGTCGAAGGTTAAGGAGGGACAACTTCCTCCTATTTTCAGCTCCTCGGAAACACTCTCCACCCTGAACTCAATATTGGGAATTATCGCATCGGATCCCACTCTTGGTAAATATATTTTGTAAGGAGTGCTACCCTATTTTATTACATCCCTTCTAAATCTATTTTAGTTCTCTCTTTAACGTTTACTTTTCTTTTGTCGACTTTATGAAACTCCTACAGTGCACTAATAGTAACTATGCTCACACCTCACCACGGCCTGTTCTCCTGCTTCAGTTTCTGCAACTTATCCAGTATAGATCTGCTAATCTAATTGGCTGATCTCCCATGGGTTCGGGGCAGCTGATGTAGGCCGTGAACCCTACCCTATCCAGAATATTCATTCATGCCATCTTGAAGCTCTGACTGACATGCTGATAGAATCTCTCCTTCTTTTTTTTTTTTTTTTTTTTCCCTAAGACAGGTATAGGGGAATCATAGTGCATAGCAGCTATCCCAGCACTCTAGTTACCTGTGATAAATGGAGTAGCGCTGAGCTAAGTGCTGTAAGGTATGGATAATAAAAATCCTACATTAACACTAGACACCTGCGAATCTACGCCAAAGAGAAATGTCAGATAAAAGCAACCGTAGGCGCACAACACACACAACTCAACGCCAAAGTAAATAAAGCAAATGCCAAAAACTCCTAGCCTTAACCTGCTTCCTATGTCCGTGAGACCTCCCATCACTCCTATTCCCACCCCGAACCGAATACACCTGCGAAGGCTTCTCCAACTCCTTAATCCTCTTCCTCAATCTCAACAATGTCCTCCTAAGCCCCGCACTCTCCCTATCCTTCCTCTCAAGCCGATGCTCACACTCATCCACCTCCCGCTGCAATGCAGTAAGCTGCGCCTCCATTCTATCAACCAACGCCTCCTTTTCCCGAAGCCATGCTCCCAAACACTCAATCCGATCATCCCTCGCACTCCGCTCAGCCTTCAATTGCTCGATATCACCATGTCTCTGCCGGAGAAGAGTATTCAGCTCACTAACCCTATAGCTCAACTCATTATTCAGCTCAATAAGCCCCCCGCTTTCCTCGGCTTGACACGAAAGTGCCACCCGCGTGTTCTGGATTTGGTAGTGTAGGCTCTCGACTTCCTTCTTCAGGAGCTTGGATTCCTCTTCTAGACTTAAACCCTTTTTGTCCATGCATTCTTCGTACGCTTGGAAGGAGGCCAGGAGGGGGTTGTTTTCATTTAAGCGGATGACGCTGTTTGTTGGGCTGGCAGGTGAAGTGGGCGTCGACATCGTGGGTAGGTAGGTCTATTTGTTAACTATTTCATGGCTGGATATGTTAGCGTATTGTTGATTTTGGGGGCCGGTTATCCGGGGGAGTGACTGAGCGTACTGTGTTCACCTTTCTTGATGTCTTGTGGTCGTTGAGTTATTTCTTCTGGTGGGGGTTGAGGTTACACTTGGATTCCTGTTCGATAGCACTATAGGGATGTTAACACCGATGAAGAGGAATTGGGGGTAGGGGTGGGGGTTGTCGCGGGGTTAGGATGTCATCTTCGAGCCTAGGTGACACTGCATACTTTGAGGGATTGCAATTGCAACTGATCGCCTGTGGATTGGGTTCTTTTCTTCGAGGGATTGATGTTAGCCAAGGGACATGGGATTGAGCTTTGTGGATATCTTGCGTATGAATTGTGCTAGAGATACTGACATTTGGATGGGACAGGTACTCTGGATTGTGTGGACTGGGGATTGTACCGTGCTTTAGTAATAATCTTGCTTCTCGTGATTATGAATTGGTAAGAGAAGGATTTACTACAAGAGGGCATTGTTTTGTGGAATAAAAGTTTATTCTTAGGAAGGCATATTAGCTGATTCTCAATTCCTCCGAGATTGTTTGGCTTGAAGCGGAGGGTATTTGCCTTAAGCCATTTCCGAGAACAGTGTCTTTGCAGGCAAGTATAAAGTCTAAGATTGGGAGAATGACTTCATCATCAAGCCTCTGGTTGCGCACAACTTGCACCGTCCAGAGACGGTTGAAAGCCCCTTCGTCATGTGGCGGGTAATGGAAGATTCGATATATCGAGACTGGGGCTGGGAAATCTTCAAAGTGTTCCAGAAATACACCATTGTTGGCGATGGAGAAGGTTATACATCGTTGAACGAGGTTAGGAACATACCTCCTACCCATCGTGACAATATGGGATGCTTTTGGCCGGTAAGTAAACAGTACCCAACGCATTACTTACGAACTGGTTAATATGTGCAGGCTGAGACACTGAAATATCCCTAGCTTTTCTCGCCGAGAGACGTCCTCTCTTTCACCGAGGTGGGTTTCAACACTAAGGCACACATGGTGCCGAGGATCAACCAGTCCAGATTTCAAACTGGCTGGAGTCGCGGGAGATGCATTTGAGCCTTTTTTCTTTGTATGGAATATTAATACCTTTGGTGAGTTGGGACATGGGATGGTGCAGCATCTGGCCTTGTAAACTGGCTCTTGTTGCATAGTTAACTCCATGCAGCTGGATACGAGTTCTACATACTATAGGTCTCCGACTATATCATCCAATTTAAAGTATGTCAACTAGCCTGGGAAGGATAGCATCCTACTACAAACCTGACCAAGAGTCCAGAACCATATTCCACAAAGAGTTCAAAGACATTTGGCATTACCGAAGAGCGAAGGTGACAAGTTCATTCTTCGAGCTATCCCTTCATGTCGAACCATTCTTTAAAGTTAAATCTGCCTCGACTATCACTGACAAAGGTGACGCTGCCCATGGTCCTCTTACACCAACTTGATGCGTCTCAGTCATCGCGATGCAATAAAACGGAGCCTCATGGAATGATATATATGAGCGTGCATCGGGGATACCTACACTCTGTGGGTAGATGCTGGCATCATGAATACCGCGGTATTTTGCGTGGACAAGATGGTCATTGTCTTTGGGGGCTTGATGAGCTCTGTCGACACGCGCGAAAATACACATTCATCATGACGCCCAATATTGTGGACACAGTCTCGCTCAAGTACCAAAGCTCGTTTACTAGCTCGAGATCGCGATCCCGACCATATCGCCCTATGAAAGGGAAGATGATGCTGATACTGGCGATACTGTCTGACTTCCTCATATACATGGGTACGACCTTTGTCACGTTTCGTCCTTTGCCGCACTCATTTCGGGTGATATATGGACCTATATGGAGACACTTACGGTTTCGGTCTAAGGGATTCAGGATAATATTCTCAACTCAGTTAATCCAGTTGTTGTGCGGAGAACAGATCATTTGGCATGGGTCTGAGAAGAGCGATAGGCCACTATTGCTCATTGAGGGCAAAAGACTCGGTTATATAGACAATGCAGTTGTACAAAGACAATTTCAAATGGAACTTGTGTAAAAAAAAAAGTCGCGAGTAGGATGAGGAGATCACGACTGCAATATCCGGCGTCGTGAAAGGAAACTATACTCAACACAAGAAGATTTATAATGTCGCCATAATTCAGGTACTGAAGAAATATCGGGCGAGTCGCCTCTCAGCCTGTGATAGCGATTTCGGCTTGCTTCTATCTAAACAATCATCCCCCGCAGGTCCCTCTTATACACATTAAGCATCTCAATGGAACAGCCAAGGCTGACATGATTTCCCAGGAAATGAACTACCATAGGTGCCCAAGTTGCTTACTGGAATTCCCGAAGGCTACATCGAACTATCATTAACAAGGGGTTGCTAATGCAGGATCAATTTGATATGCATACTTCCATGGAATCCTTCTTGAGCTTCAAAACATATAAGCTCCACCAGCATCCCACAGGTCTCCTACACCTCGACAAAGTACTATCTCTCGATGGGCGGCTGGGCCACAGCCAGGACGAATTTAATATACCGCGTGGGGCGACATTGCTACAACTGCAAACTTTGAAGATAGCATGATTCCTCGAAAGGTGGAGCATGGAGCATCTAAACGTTACAGCAATTCGAGGCCTAAATATTCGGAGTTATGTGGCAGTACAGAGAAACAAAGAAACTGATGACTATAATCCTCTTGACTCTTGCCAGGCATTTCACTTTCTGAGACTACTTGACCGGTTTTTCTCGCATAACCTACCCTTCAATCTCGACCAGCTATCACCAGGTGAGGCCTGGGACTCGAATTGTCCAATGAAGTGGTTCGTGCTGGCAGTCTTGTTGACGGCTGAACGACGAGACCTTGGCCCGTCTATTCTGGCTTCGCTTGACAACTCTGATGATCCCAATATCACCGATGCTCGCTCTCGCTATTGGGGTGCGACCCTTCCCTGGTCATTTATCACCAGCGAAACTGAGCATTAACCTCACCTCGGGAAACCGTTACGTTTACAATATATTTTACTTTCATATACTCATTATTTTGAGCGATGTTCAACAACCGGCTCGCATGGCTTAGTTGGCAAAGCGCATCACTAGTAATGATGAGATCCTCGGTTCAAATCCGAGTGTGAGCATTACTTTTTTTTGCTCATTTTACTTCACCCTTCCTTACCACTCACCCAAACGAATTTTACTCAACATATCTAGCCACGCATGCTAGGCCCAAACTAGGTATAGCAAAATTAGAGCCGTATCACCAGTGAAAGGGACATGAGCCCACCACCCAGCGGCACCCCATCGCAGCTTGGACAGGCACTACATAACGAGATATGTGCTTGAGGAAAACATCCTGACGCTCTCTCCCTCACTGTCTTCTAGCGTCTTATCCTTTGGCCCCCTCTTTCACTCCGTCTATATTTTCGACCAAGATATGTCGTCCAACAAACCCGGGAGCGTCAGCCCCAGGGGAAGCTCAGTTAGCGAGCCTCTTGATATGGGCAAATTAGCAGAAGCCTGAAAAGGTCTACGTCAATCATCACGAAGTGCGCAGCGTCGGGGGCCTCCAATCCCTTCGATGGAGTGAGAGCGCCGCTTCCATTAACTCTGGAAGAATTTGAAGTCGCCTAAGCGCTTGCTGCTTGGTCCAAGCACTTTACCAAGTCGGGCATGTGGCCAGCACGATATCACATTATTCCACACACGAGAGGATGGCAGAGTATGCTAATATCGGCAGGGCGTGCTTTGGGAAGCCTTGCTAAAACGCGAGTCGCCCGAGTCACCGGCTCCTTACAACAGGTTTGGGATTACATCGAGAGCCCGGTCTACTAAATGGAGCGGAGATTTAAAACTCTAACGGCAGCATTATATAAAAAGTATTCGATTGCCCAGAGGAGCCTGCAGCACAGGATACCATGGCTCAGGCCTTGACAATGATAGTTCGACGAACATGCCGAGAAGGTGCTATAACATCGACGGACATAGAAAGTAAACCGAGGTCCATTTTACCACTATGAGAGCGGATTTAGTCAACGAGTCGTCAATCTCCAACAAGCAGTCAGAGATAACTAGGGATAATACATCCTAGCCTCGAGATACATTCTCATGGCACACGTATTGTAAAGAACACAAAGACAGCTCACCCTGAGGGGTTTGAGTCCTTCATATCCATCGAATTCCATACTGTTGTTGCCAATGAGCCATTAAAGAAAGGTTCATACTAGCTCACGGAGAGCGCTAAACTCACATTATCGGTCTTAAGAAATTCCATGGGTTGTATAACATCCATCGGATCCGAGGAGATGGGACCACATAGGTCTCCCCAAGTTAACTGGGAGGCGGTTGCCCGCAGCGTCGCTTGTGTTCGGTGCGCCATTTGAGCGATCCCCAAGACACCTGGCCCATTTCCAACGTTGGCGCGTCGCAACAACCGATCATCAGCACGAGCAAGCTGGTTAAATTAAACTGTCCATACGGATAAAAGGCACCATGATTACCATGTTTATACAATTTGTTGTGGTCTCAGGGGAAAGAAGGGCAGAATGAGGCTGTATCAGCTACATGTACATAGCCTACTGAGGATCGGATGCCATTTCGATACATACTCAAGTCTATGGACGACTCTATCGACTACCTCAACCGCTTCTTCTTCCAACTAATGGGTCAAGCCTTCAGGAGATGGAGTTCGGTGATCGGCCAAGCCACTAGGATTACGTGGTCTCGTATAGATTCATATCACAATTAACCCAAGTGTTCAAAGTACCGACTCCCGTTATCAGGCATCGGCGGCATTGTTGCAAGAAAGGGATCCGAAGAGAGACGAGCTGGAAAGATGCTCTCCTTGCCGCAGAGGGGGAAGCTTTGCGTCACAGCCGTGAAAATCCGCATGGCCTTTACTTGGGTATCTGTGCCAATTGCGTATGGGCCAAAACACTCCTCATACCACGAAAGTGCAGATAGGGGAACTAAGTCAACTCTCAAAGATCTATCACCTCTGTTAAGGGTTTCTTCATCATATCCTTGGGGGAATAACTACCGCAGTGCAACGTTGTGGTCATGTGCATGAAAACGCAATAGCCCTTACTTTTTATTTTTGGCGCCTCTACTGCCATGGCATGTCCCTGAAGGATGAGGATTGTGAGCCTGGAGAACCATTCGGTACTGTAGCTGCATAGTAAGTTAGTAATGAGGCCATTTCAGCCTATTTAAAGGATAGTTCTTTATTAATGGGTTCGATGCTGGCTTCGGTCCTCGTATGATCCAGCAGGCAGGAAATCCGATCATCGGACAGCGTGACACGCCTTCCGACGTACTTCTAAATGGAAGTGAAGGATTGTGTTCTCGAGAAGTGTGCGAGGGTGGAGGTCCCTAGGCGGCGATGTTGAAGAAGACATACGTGCTACTTTTTCATCTTTTATGTCACAGGCAATGTATTTGCATTCGAAGAGGGTATAAGATTGTTGTGTCATATTAGTCATTGCAGCATTCGCAAAACAAAAAAACAAAAAGATGAAAAAAAAAAATAACCCATTCCTGGTTCATCAAGAACGCTCTATAGCAATATATCCTATTTAACCACCATCATGCGGCGCCTATCAATGGCACCGGTTGCGCCGTTCTCGTAACCTGTTCTCCAGAGCGAACGATCCGCTGACCAGTCGAGTCCGTTAGCATCGGCGTTTTGCCGTCCGGCAAGGTACGCTTCCAGATCTCAACCTCACAACCGCCACGAAGAACAGCGACTCGCATCGTCGAAAGCAAGTTATGGGCAGCATTGGAATGATTATAGACCCCACCATTGAAAATGGCAGTAGCGTCTTTACCAACAGCCGAGGAGATAAACGCCTTACCACCGGGATGCTCCTTGATAAATGTCGTGATATCATGGATAACGCCTCCGATCGCGGTCAGGGCCTTGCCATTCTTCGCTTCAGCCATAAAGTCATCCCAGTCCATGACGGGCAGCTCGTCGAGAGGAGTCCCCCAATCGAGGGTTGCACGCTTTTGGTCGAGCTTCTTTTGCAACTGTTGGATGCGACCTTTTTCAATCTCATTCTGGCGGAACTGCTTAAGATCGTAGGCGAGGCCGAGCTTCTTCCAGAGATAGATCGACCATTTAGTAGGATCGTATTGCCACCATTGGATCGCGTTGCGATAGTCGGAGGGGAACTCGTGGTGGAAGTTATGATATCCCTCGCCGAGGGTCACGAACGCGGTTATTACGTGGTCTCGTGGGGAGTTCCGATCGTCAAAGGGCTGTTCACCGATCCAGTGGGCGAGGGAGTTCACGCAGAAGGTAGCCTGTTGGATGAAGAAGACGCGCAGGATACCACCGTAGATGAATCCCCCGAGCCAGTCTCCCCATCCTAGACCGCAGACCAAGGTTGGGAACACGAGACACATGAACAGGGCTGACTTGATATAGTTGGTATGCTGCCAGACGACCACAGGGTCGGCGTCGAGATCCGTGACGTCCGTTCGGCCGATTCGCTTAGGATTCTGCTTGATGACCATCCACCCGATATGCGAGTACCAGAACCCTTTCTGAACTGAGTATGGGTCCTTCTCTGTATCGGTGTATCGGTGGTGGGAACGGTGGCCTCGGGACCACCATCGGATCGAGCCTTGTCCGGCTCCGGCTCCAGCGGCGGCTAGGTAGATCTTCAACGGGAGGGTTGCTTTGTATGAACTGTGGGCCCAGCAACGGTGGTATCCTATCGACCGGTCAGTCATTATACGAGAGTCCGCCAGGGGATCAAAATCATACCGGCGGTAATGCCAAGACCTGCGTTAACATAGTACACGACTGCAAAGATGCCTGTATACAGCCGGAGAGGCGTGTAGTATGCTCCAATGCAGCCTAGAAACGGGATGAAGAGGATGAAAGTGCAATTCAACCAGTTGATATGCTTGTGCCAGTTTCCCCAAGTCATGGGCTGCTCGCTGATATGAGGCTTTTTGGGGTCATATTTCTTTCTCATAGGAATATAGTCAGTAGTGCCGTCATGGTAAGGAGCTGTCTCTGGCGATGTCGCCTTGCGCGTCATCTTGGGTTTTCTAATCGATAGGCTAAGGTAGAGAAAGAACGAAACTTGAAGTTGCGACTGGTGAACCCGGAATGGCACGTCGACATTAACTTTGTATATAAGCACGATCTACATTATTTTTCTAATGGTCTGATCCACCTCTTTTTCCAACATCTACTCAACAATTGGTTTTAATAAAAGATAATTCCATGTGAGTATCTGGGGATAAAGATGTTGGGGCTAAACTGTTGGGAACCCACCCGAGGCATCAACTGATGTGTGGCCTGACTCAGCCTTAGGGCTTCCCTTGGCTCAGACCCCAACCTCGAACGAAGTACATGAATTGGTTCAATATTCAATCCATGACCTCAATGCTGACTCCCAACCGTCCAGGAAAGAGAAATAATGGCCTCGGTCTGGATTACCACATGGCCCTCTGGCCTTCACGGTCAGCCCGAAACGTAAGCATTCCAGTTGGGTTTTGAACCGTGGTCCCTACCTAGACAAGATGAATTTCAATACCGGGAGGGACCAGCTCATCAAACTGCTTTCCAATGGACGATGGTTACATCCTCACTCCCTCACTTTTCAATTGAGATGATCCGCTCACATGCCACCAGTTGCAGCCAAGGCAACACAAGTCCTCCAAGCACGAGTGGCGGTCCGTATTTCGCGAAGCTAACGACTTGCTCGAATCAAAACCCGCCATTCAGCTTCCCATAGATCGCCCACAAAATTTAAACGTCCGCTAGATTGGAATATTGAGAAGGAGTAGCCCCGCAGTCGGATCCAGATCAACTGAGCACGGTAGATGGACGGGAGACGATAAGCCGAACTAGAATTTCCCGTCTGCTGCTTCATCTCTACTTTCCAGTGTATCTTCTTAAAGCCGACGTCTCTCAGGAAGAGCGTCCAACGCGTGGCCAAGGCGTGCACGATTGCTGCTGCGGTATTCAGATCTAGCATGGTTGAGAGTTAAGACTGTCTCGTGTGATATTCCAGAAAACGAACTCGGTTTCGGAACACCACCAAAATAGCCGTGGTTTCCACTATACGCCGAGTGGGAAGTCGAGTACACATGTACCATTCGAGTACTGGTCACTAGATGAGCACACAGCCCGTCTATCCCATGGATCTCTGATCCGATATGGAATCGATGTACCAGGTGGCAAGCCTTTGTATGAAGAGTTGGGAGATGGAGATGTTGACAAGCATGATGTGCGGGTTCTTTCTGGACGTGCTTTGATTCTTCCACAGCCCAGCTTTTCACTGGCAGCAAAAGCCAAACAGCTCTTTGATGACACTTCTCCCTCAACTCTGGACAAATATTCACCTGAATCTCGGAGGAAGGAATTGCTGGATGGTATCAAGACCCTGTTGTATCTGTCATCACCATTGTCTGGATTGACTGATGGGCTCCTGACACTCTCCCAAGAAAGTCATATCAAGCCAGAAAGCAAGACAGTCGGTCCAGAGGGCGAACAGTCATTTCCCATCCAGGCTGCCCTGTTCAAGGATGCCGGATTCACTGAGAAAAACTATTAGCACTATCATGAACAACTCGGCTCTCACACTCTTTGGTTCTCTTGCCAGATTTATCGATCCTGTTCATTGCCCGTTCAAGCCAGTCACCCATGGCCAGTTTCGATTCCGTAAATTGGATATCATCGATCGTTTTGGCCAGGCATTGGTTTCCATTGATCCCCAGCCTCGTATTGAAGGACCTCCACCACTCTATCCCAACATCAGTCATTTCTATGATCCACAGTTGGTTGAAGGCAAAGAGGAGCCCAACACTGTGATAAAAAGCCCACCATGGCACTGTGAATTCCTACAGTTACCACCACAAATCAACCAAGATGCCCGTCTGAATGCATTGTTCGTTATCCGCACTTCCGACGACCCTGGTCCTCCTACTATTAAGGACCCGCTATACTGGAGGCCCACGACAGAATGGGAAATGCCAATTTGGGGGTGGATTGTGGCTAATTATGCTGATTATGGAATCCAGCTGCTTCTTCCCAATGGAACCTTTTATCGTGAGGTGCGCATTGGTGGACCAAACGGGGCACTCCAGGGACCGAAATGAGCGCCTTTTGGCCCGTATATCATAGTATATCATGAACCCACCTGCAGGTTCACCCCAGTTAGATGCTCTAGTCAGGAAGCTTACAAATACACAGTATCTGGAAGGATTCTGGAAGATGATAACGGTTGCTCCGGACCGTCTACCTCCAGCCCCTACAGTGTACGCGCAGCATCTCAATTCGATTGTCGGAAAGCCTCTGGCTCTTGTGAATATGGGCTGGTCTCTGGAAGTGGCGGGTCCACATTTGCTCAACCAGTCGACAAACGCTAAGGTTGCAAATCCAAACCTATAGTTGTTACCAGATCCGGAAGATCCTCAAACGCAAGTTATACGAGTTCCAGGTGAAGTTAGGAGACAAGGAGCGTGAGTGCGACGGGCTGGTTGGCTACTTCGATATGGAACCAAATCCCGAATCAGGAAAAGAGCTCATCATTGACCAAATCCACACTTATTTTGCTCCGGACAAACCAGAGACTCCAAACGATCCTCGACGTCGTCTCACAATGGAAAGCTATCCATACTTTACTGTGTTCTGGGATCATCCATTCCCCGAAAAACCCCCTTACTCCACTGCTATCAGTCCAGACGAATATAACAGTCGACGCAATAAGCATATGCAAGTCTATGGGGCTATTGTCGACCCATTCACTGCTGTTCATGCCTGCTCTTCATTTCTACCAACACAATCTCTGCAACTAGTCCCATGGACCTGGCAAGGGGCAATGAATACAATGACAAGCGTTCCTCCACTCGGGACCGCTTACCATCACTGGAGATGTGAATAATCAATCCAACCCCAAACTACGATTGACGACGGGTAATATGAAAAACCGCCCATCCGAGAATCTCCCAATCCTCTCTCCGGGCTCAGGAGAATAGAACTGGCTCCAGCCTTATATTGATCCAGACGAGGATCCGAATGACCCTGTCTCAGCCTATAATGCCTACGGGGTGGAAAGGAAGGGCGATATTCTGAAAACCGGGTTTTTGAAAAAGGTCCATACACCGCAATCGAGGGATTCTTGCAGTTGCGGCAACCGGTTATGCTGGAAAAGCCTGAGAAACCGGAAGATTCTAAATAGTTTATGATATGTGAGACTCATGTATGCATTTTTACTTTTTTATGGGTAGGAGCTGCATATTGCGAAATTTTCAATACGTTGTTTATGGTTTCAACCTCAGACCTCTGATACATATCTTCGACCACAATGTTCTTAGACCGAAAAGCAGGAAGAGCAATAATGAAGAAGACCCAGACCACCCGTTAACCTCAACTAGTTTCTCATCTACCCAGATATTGAATCAGACCCTGAAACTCCCGTCCGATCAGCTTGACGAGCTGTGCTCGCGCCCCTGTATACTGCTCCATCGCCACAACCAATCCAGCCAAAAGATCCCTGATAACTTTAGGCCCGACACCTTGGACTACTACCGTCGACCGATAGTATTGCATGATCCCGGTATCGTTCTTGTAGGTATACGGATCACGGATTCTCCCTTTTCGCTGGTTCAGGTCTTTGTTGATTTTGTACAAATTGACAGATCGATTCAGCCACTGCGAGAGCTCCAAGTACAGCCCGAGCTGGAGAGTTTGCCAGTTTGCTTGATGTGCAATTATCAAGCGTGATGCGTATTGGACCTCGAGGAAGTGATCAGCCTCCCATGGAGCAGCCTGTGGTGGTTTCTCAATGGGAAAGGCAACATTGCTGTCGTAGTATGCGCGGAGGATTCTGCCTAGGGCAGCTTCATCTCCAACTGCCAGCACGCTGTCTTCGGATGAGGGCCAGATAAGGGAGGTTGGGATATCGGCGATATTTCCATCGGTAGAGGTAACTTCTTCATTCTCCGTAGTCATGATGTGTAGCTTGGCAGGATGTTAGCGCGGCAAAACGTTTATAAATTATCAGGGCGACGTACGAGCAGAGAATATGCTGAATGGTTGAATATTTGATTGTAGTCAAATCTGTTTGTTATCGGGATTTAGAAAGGCTGAGCAGCTTCCAGGCTCGCATTTTCAAAGCAGTCAAAATTCCTTTTGTCATAGGCACTAGGATTGTATGAGGGGTAGCTGTGCTCATATATACATAGGAGATATAGAAGCGAACGGAGAATAGTCAAGGGTATCTTCTTGGTTGCATATGCTAAAGCGGAGATGCTCCAACTGCATGAATGCCTGAGTTGGTCTTCTGGTCGACGATCAGCTAAATACGCGGCATCAGCTATTACCAGACATAGTTCGACGCCCCAGCTGAGTATTCTAAACCATGATAGATCTTTTAACTATCTATTTTTTTCTACACAAAGACAGCTTATGTAGTGTGGCTCTCGAGTTACTTGGCATAATATGCCTACCACGAAAGTCCTTATATGCTTACCTAAAGCCATAATATGGCATAAGACAGATCTTCTAGCTATCAATGTTTCATTCCCAGAAAACAAAATCTTCCTAAGGCTCCTCTGAGAGTTCCCCGTAATTTCACACCCGGGATATTGGGTTGACGGCCGCTTTAAGGTGAAAGTAAGAAGATCAACCATTTTCTCCACAAACAGCCCTGGAATAAAGGATATTCGCTAGTTGAGATTGATCTTCAGGGTACTGGTTTTTCTCCATTGATCTGTTGGCTAGGTCCTGCTATAGCCGAGTTGCCATTCGTTCCGCATTTTCCAAATGCCTGATGGGGAGGGTAGATCAAATGTCGATACCCCCCCCCCCCTCCCGGCGCTTTCTGCTGCACTCGCTGGAGCATCAAGTTAGATCCGCCTAAAGGCTGTAAATTCTTTGGCTAGTCCAATTCTCGTCACACATGAGATCAGTCACGCCCAGAAGGCTCCCGGTCCCCGGTCCAGAGAACTTCAACATATATGGGAAAGCCGTCAATGCGTAGAGTCAGCATGCAGGAAATTACCTGCTATAAATAGGACAATACCAAAGACTGCTTTAGCCAACAGAGGATGGCTTTTGTGTCCCTGTTGCGGTGCTTCTTGTACAGATACCTACATTTAAAGCTCCGATCTTTTCTCCACTTCTGCTCTCTCTGTGGTATATATTCGCCGGTATCGCTTATCAGGTAGTCCCAGGCTTGGTTTCCCGAGACGAATGCGAAGCTACATGTAGCCACAACGCCACCTCGCTAGTGGCGTTGACCGGGTGCTAACAAACATGGGAGCTCTGTAAGAAGTCCTTGAGTAGTAATGCAGACCGGTGCACGTGTCCGCTTAGGATTGGGCAGTTTTTCAGTCCTTCGGAGAGGAGGGTGGGTTTGAGCCTGGGCTTGGGCTTGGGCGTGGGCCCACAAGGATGTGCAAGATGTTCACGGAGTGTCCCTTAAAATCCTAGACTACTACCAGTTCAGCGCGAATAGTCTGGTTTCAGTCCTCCCTCCCAGGTTACTGCCTCGGGCAGTTTGCCTAGGAAGGCTACTGATCCATTCTAAGAGGAAACAAGCATCTACCATTTCTAGGCCCCTATTGTCCACATATAATGCGACTTTACTAGTACTAGAGACTACATAAGTCTCTCTATGTAATACACTTGTAAGCTAGTCTGTTCAACTTGCGCATTAGCCACAGAGTGGACCCTAATATTGGTCTCTTCTTCGGATTTCATCGGTTTGACCCGCCAATCGCCGGCTAAGCTTTCTCGCCAAGCAGTGAGTTCTTGACTCCTCATTGCGCTGGGTATCTGACATGTCCCACCCCCTCATGTTACATCAACTACATTGGTTCCTGGCGAGGACCTCTTTATCGCTGTCCAGATGACTCATGCGGAGCAGTACGTGGTGACAATTCCTCCGCGAAATTAGACCGACCAGGATCATAGTCTCTTTTGAGTATCTCACTCGTGGAGCCACTAACCTTTAGACCCATTCACGAGTCTTCACTAGCAGTCCGACTAATTAGGAAGAATGAGGTGTGGTGGTAGCGCAGGCCAACGGGGTAGCATCTTCCGATGCAGGGGCGTTCAGCTATAGTGCTACCTCTGTCCACCCTCATTTCAGTTCTTCGAACTCTCTTCCCCTCTTCGTTTATATTTAGCAACCCTGTGTTATGCGACGTACTCCCCCTCGTTCTCTGTGTTTTTCCCTCTCTAGCATTCATTACCCTACAAGGAAGACTTCCTATCGTGATTGCGTATGACTGTTCTAAAGCGCTCGATAAAATGAGATTTTCCGTCCTAGCCGGGGCCTCCCTGCTATCGGGATGTGCCCTAGCTGCTGTCCCACATATTGAGATCAAAGTGAGTCTTTGATTTCACTCGGATGAAGGTCATTCTTGAATAACCATGCCACTCTCCAGGGCTCTAAATTTTTCTACTCCAACAACGGCAGCGAATTGTGAGATCCTATTTCTGTTCATTGTAATTTGAGGACTTACACGGCGAACCAGCTATATCCGAGGCGTCGCCTATCAGGGTATGTATACGAACGAACCCTACCTACATCGTTCATGTCTAACCGATGACCTTAGAGGACTACACCGGCGGTGGGGCCGGCGGAACTGGTGAGACTAGCAACAACTACATCGACCCTCTGGCAGACGCCTCCAAATGCGAGCGTGACATTCCCTATCTCCAGCAACTGCGCACAAACGTCATTCGAACCTATGCGGTCGATCCTACTCAGGGTCACGATGACTGTATGCAGAAGTTAGCCGATGCAGGAATCTACGTCATCACCGATCTCTCGTCTCCTGATGAATCTATCACGTCGAATTCCCCTATCTGGACAGTTGATCAGTACATTCGCTACACGAGTGTTATCGATGCGTTTCACCAGTACGACAATGTGATTGGCTTCTTTGCAGGTAATGAGGTAGTGAATAAGGCAAACCAGACTATCGGCGCCGCCTTCGTCAAGGCTGCAGCAAGAGATATGAAAGCCTACATCAAAGACAAGGGATACCGCGAGACTCTAGGCATCGGCTATGCAACCACCGATAACCCGGACATCCGTGTACCAATCTCCGACTACCTCAACTGTGGTGTTCAATCCGAAGCGATTGATTTCTTCGGATACAACATCTATGAATGGTGCGGCGATAAGACCTTCAAGACTTCGGGATACGAAAACCGAACGGACGAATACAAGGACTACTCCATCCCCGTCTTCTTCTCCGAGTATGGATGCAATGACGAGAAACCCCGCAAGTTCAGCGACGTCCCCGTGCTCTTCGGGCCTCAGATGGAAAATGTCTGGAGCGGCGGCATTGTTTACATGTACTTCGAGGCAGAAAACGATTACGGCCTTGTTTCGGTTAGTGGCAGCTCTGTGAAAACCGAAGCAGGCTTCGAATACTACTCCAAACAGATTCAGTCTGCAACACCGACCGGTACCAACAAGGCCAGCTACTCCCCTACTAACTCTCCCCGCGCCTGTCCCACGGTTGACGATATGTGGCTCGCCAAGTCGAGCCCTCTTCCCCCATCTCCCAACAAGGATCTTTGCTCTTGTATGACATCAAGCTTGTCTTGTGTGGTCAGCGACTCCGTCAAGGCGGATAAATACGGCGAGCTCTTTGGCCAAGTCTGTGGCTATGGTGGAGGTGTCTGTGACGGTATTGCTCATAACTCCACCACGGGTGACTATGGGGCCTACAGCGTCTGCTCGAGCAAGGATCAGTTGTCGTTTGTTTTCGATCAGTACTATAAGAGTCAAGATAAGAGAAAGTCGGCTTGTGATTTCGATGGCGCGGCGTCGATCCAGTCTGCTAAGGATTTATCTGGGACTTGCAAAACCCTCATCGGCCAGGCGGGTTCAGAAGGAACAGGAAAGGTCACTTCCAATCCCACTGGTGGTGGAAATGCGGCCAGTACCTCTACCTCCAAAGGCGCAGCTTACGGTGCTGTGAGTCCCAGCGCAGTTTATGTGAGCGGCTGGCTTGGTGTGGCCTATGTTGTCACAGCAGCGATGGCTGGGTTCCTGATGGTGAATCTGTAGGCTTTCGAGGAGTTGGATATCATTTCCATGTCTATTAGCGTATAAATTTCCTGATTCCGCGCAATGGGTGGCTTCCAGCTACACACCTTCTTGCCATTGAATTTGGCCAGTCGCGAAAATAGTTCACTATACTTACGATATATTGAACCATATATATCCCAACTTGTATAACATCCGCAGTAATCACAAGTAAGCCCACAAAAAGTAGATTTCCCGCGTCGATCTACACTCTAAGGTCCGACATCCAGTAAGTGTGGGTCAAGATAGTGGAACTCGAATCTCCACACTAAAGCCCACCAAGCAATCGTAAACGTCCAGCTTCATCCATCCCCAATATCAAGTCTTCCCGCCTACTCATGAACTCCCAACCATGGACTCCCTCAGTCAAGAAATCCTCCTCCTAATCGTCCCCCATCTTTGCCACGACCCTCCCAACCCTAATCCCCAACCATGGGATTCAACCTCACGCCTCAACATCGCTTCCTACGCGACCATCTCCCGCCCATGGCAACACGCCATCGAACGCTTCACACTAGCAAGCATCCACAAGTACAGCTCCGACCTCCCCACATTCCATCAAATATTCACCAACCCCCGTCGAAGGAGAATGCTAAGACGTCTAACCTACGAGATCGACCTCCCAAGCTACAGCACAAACCGGATCCACTGCTTTGAAAGACGAAGAGAAAGCAAAGCAAACCAAGTAGCATTTAACCAAGGGATCATTGATCTCGCCATTGAGCTCGCAACCTGGGATAAACAGAGTCTCGAGCTAACCCTCCTCGCCTCCTCGCCCATGGACCCCGGGCGTCGACCGGGGCCAGAAAATCTAGACCCAGAACTAGGATCCAATCGATGGATGCACGAGAATATCTATCTCTCGGTAATAGACAGTGAGAGTGTAGACATACCAGAGTTACCCTGTATCAGGTCCTTGATTATCCCCAACGAGCGACGGGACATTCATCCCGCAGCTATAGGCCGCCTTATCTCCGCGATGCCTAGACTCGAAAAACTAAGGTTAGATTTGAACGCGCCTAAACCGAAGAATAGATCCTTGCAAAAGGATTACAGACTGGGTTCGTCTTCCTACCTTCCTCATTAACCTCCCCGGGAAGTGGTGGGATAGAAATATATCTACCCAACTAACAAAACTATATCCAAAGCCCTCGCTTCAGCCCTCGACTCCCCATCCCTATCAATCCTCAAATCCCTGTATATCTACTTTGAACAAAGCATCCCCAAGAACCACAGCTTCCCAGTCCAAGAACACGACCCGGACTACCCATCCGGAGACGCTCTGAACATCTCCATCAGAAACCTATGCGAAACAAGCCCCCTTTCACACCTCCATCTAGATGGCTGGTGGCCCGTTTCTCCAGCACTGTTCGCCGGACGGGCACCATTCCCGTTTCTCCAGAACGTGAAAATCGAAGCAGCACTTACCACCTACGACGGGAGGTGGTTCTACACGGGGAACCCCGATGCGACGGATGCGTCTTATCAATTTGGGCGGTTTGAGTCTGATGAGAGTAGTTCTGACGAGGACTTGGACTCCAACTCGTCATTTAACTCGGAGTACGAGGATTATGTGCGTGAGGGGAGAGAGGCGCTGCTTAATGGGGATGAGCCGTATTATATGTGGAGGACGAAGCCGGAGGCGGAGATGTTTGATAGGTTTATGGAGGATATGGCTAGGGCTATGCGGAGGATGCATTGTTTAAGGGACTTGAGCTTCTCGATGGGATGGAATTATCATGATGATTATGCGATTTTGCTGGAGTATACTGGTTCGATGGGCGATGGGGAGGAGGCGGGGTGTTGGGTGAGGTTGAGGCCGGAGGCGAGGTGGGAGATTCCGGAGGGGTTTATGAAGTTATTGGGGGAGTGTGTGGGTGGGAATGTGGAGGTTTGTGTGGAGCCATTTTGAGAACTATTGGGGGTTGTTTTACTATGTAGTACAATTTGAGAAATGGTGTTTGGATAGCTATACCAAGGTTAAACGGAGTATATATATATATTCTTTTGGCTTGTATATGCAGAATAAGACCATCCTCCCAACAAGTATCCGATGTGGTGTAATGGCTAACATCGCTGTCTCTCACACAGCAGCTCGGGGTTCGATTCCCCGCATCGGAAAAATATTTTTGTTCCTAGCCTTTTTCTGGCTTTTCTCTTTCCTCCCTTTTCTCACGTCTTGTAGTTTTGTGTCATTATTCTTCATTCTCCTCATTATTTTCGTGCGTCGTCATCATCTTAAAGCAATAGTGAGTACAAAATAATCTGTGAATATTGCAAGTACGATAGCAAAACACTGACACACTCCTATAAGACAGTAAAGTAAGACCAGAGAGACGATTAGTGTATCGTGCGGTCCCTACGATGCAGTCCAGCAGTCAACACCACGTATAATGTCCAAAATGCAGCACTATATCAAGCGAAACTTAGTGCAAGATTTACTATAGTACACATAGAGTATAAGGACTAAAAGGGGGGATCCCAAGGAGAAACAAGCCAAGCAGTAATAAAACTTGCTATAATCCAATAAGCTGTAGAGAGCACCAATATATCATGGGCTTGTAACTCAGTGGTAGAGTGCTCGCTTCGCAGTCTTCCATTGGAGAAATAAAAATGCGAGAAGTCGAGGGTTCAATTCCCTCCAAGTCCACATATTTTTGTGTTGTGTTTTTGTTGGCCCGTCAACCGCCACCAGCTGCACTTTTATTTTGGTATGAAGAGCCTCCCTCCCTCCTTTGTTTCGCTTTTTGTATTTTGGTTATTAGTTTTGTTTCTTTACCGGAGTTGTACGAATTGTCCAATTAATGTTTAATCGGTGCTAGAATTATAAATTATTGCCATAGTATCTTGCACATTTTGTAGCGGTTATATATCTCTCTCACAGGATTACAGGAAGGTACAAATTACTCCCACTCCTTCTGTGAAAATTTTTATTCAGCGCTAGCACAAGCATCTATGAAAATGTGTCTAGTCCTTTGTCCATAGCCGAGACAAAACCAACAGTCTCTGACTGCGCAATGTGGTAAAGCCCAGCAAACAACAAAACACCGGTGCCATCACGAAGCAAATAACATCAAAAAGCCACCCATAAGTATGCTCGCATTAGCACATGTCCATTACAATTATTCCCGCTCGACATATCAGGGCTCATGGTAGCCAAAATCAATAACGCCAAAAAAAAAACCTACTGAGACTTATAGATTTTGAAACTTTTGAATTCCCAATAAGCATTCGTAAAGGCAGATGGGTTGTGAGCAACATAATCGTTGCATGTCCCCGGACAGTGCGATTGTTCTGTGTATAACTGCTTCTGAGCACCAAGTTGACCGCACAAGTCAATATTAGCGATGATACTCTGATTCCGGAAATGCATTGGGATATCGCAGTCTGTATTAGGGAAGTCGGCCAAAGCAGTACCCCAGCTGGATGGATCGGGAGTACCGTTCGAATTCGTGATATCATCCGGGATAGAGTCCCGGGGAAACATCCAGGTCCGAATGCCGGCATCTCGTAGCTCTACGGCATAAATCTGTTGCTGTATGTTAGATGATGTGCTTGTAGGTACAGGTTCATAATCTTACACCTCCGCCGTTCTTGTTAAACGGCTCACCATAGCTGTCTGGTGAGCCTTGGACACCACACCCTGCGTTGCTATTGGTGCTGTTGTCGCAAGTAGTATATACAGAATGGCCGGTCTGCTTTCGCTTAACTTTCATGCTGCAGCCGCTTGTGGTGTGTAATGTCACGGCATTGCCTTCAGGGGCGTTGTTGGTGGTCTCCAGCACATCGATTTCTCCGTTCGCCGGCCAGTTGGTTGGATCTGTCAACCACAATGCCGGCCATGTACCACATCCATAAGGCGTATGGAGGATGTCAAAGACAAAGAGACCATTATCATAACTAGTCTTAGACTCCAGCCGCACAGACTGTCGGCCCTTAGCTGCAAACTTATTCGAGGTGTCTACTCGGAGCACGACCGACGTATCCGTGGCATAAGTGAGATTCAGCGTATTCGCCGTTGTTCTATCCACATATCTGTGATTACAAATGAGCATGAGCCCCTAGGTGACGTAAAGCGACCGGGGGCATACTGGACAAATCCGTCGGTGGGATCTTCGCCATGATAATAGTCAAAGCGGTCGAAGAACGATGTTCCTGAATACGTATCGACTAGTTCATAATTGAGTTTCGTATAGTCCGGATAGCGATTTGCTTTCGTGCCCTCGACAGCTCCGACAATAACTGCCACCACTACTGCAATGGCTGCAACTCCGGCAATCAGCTTGGTGCGCAGCGACCACCCGCGTGGGTTGTACCACGGGAGCGCGGGTCCTGGGGGCGGAGCAGTGTATTCAGCGCCCGAGCCAGGAGGGGGCCCCGCATGTTGGACTTCGAGCTTGGGGAGGTGAGCTGTTGCTCCCGCATATCGTGAGAAGTCGTCAGCGGGGATGTAATTCGTTCTGTCCGTCATCGTGTGGTTGCTATCTTTCCTGTTTCGAGAGAGAAGTTGAGCCAACGGAGAAAGGCACAAGGGATCAATGCGAGCAAACGGGCAAGAATGTGTCGGATTATTCAGAGCGGTGTCAGGGAGTTCAAGAGGCCTGGAGTTAGGGAAGCAAGTTGGCATGTCGTCATCCAGAATGCAGGAGGTGAAACCATGCCTCCGATCATGTCCTGATCAGGTAACTCGCGTACTTTAACCCGACTGCATGCAGTGAACATTAATCAAGGCGGGAAGATTGTCAAAATCAAAAGCGGCTGGTTGTCAATGCAACGGGGGTCTTATCGCTGCTTAGAGTCTTACATTTTCTCCTACTGTGGTTTCTCCCAAGTATGGATCAATGTTGCCCTTGCTGCTTGTTGACACAATTGTTGTTGTTGCTGTTGTTTGCATTCGCTGGGACTGAGGCACCTACGCTAAACCTCATGGAGCCATGACTGCTGAGTAAGGAAAACAAGTCACCATCGTCGAAATTAATTAATGAATTATTGTTTATAACAAATTCAGGAAGGTTGAAATAACCCTATCATTCATGCTTAAATGATCAATGGAAAATCAGGGACGGGGAAATAAGCACTTGCCAAGCCCAGGGAACAAGGGTCCAGACTGATCCACGCAGGCGAAATGGCAATTAAGTGGAGCCCAAAGAGGTGGATCAGATCTCTACAAGACCTGGAAATTGGATACGAATATGCAAAGCGTTGGTTGCTTCACCGTTGACTATATCAGATACCTTTGCTTGGATAACGGCAACTGGAGTACTATTTACAATGGCTTGCTGATGGTGAAGTTATTAAGGGTATGGAGAATCTCATGGTGGTGAATTGTGGTTGCTCGCGCCTCTCTACTAAAGCCTTCGCATTATAGCCACAGTACTTCAAAGCGATAGACTAGGGCTTAAAGCGGACTAAGCCAGCCCATTGTGTCCAGCTTTTGCGCTGCTGAACCTGAACCATCTCCTACCAGTCCATGAGGATTTGGGCCTCCTGCTGACGGAAAGCCTCCTGCAGGATAGTATGGACAGGTAAAATCGCCCCGGTAGGGCCAGTGTGATGCCAAGTAGGGTCCGCATTCTGATAAATAAGGAGCTCGGCAGCTATGTACTATGCATCCTTAAGGGCAATTGAAGCAGTGTTTGCACTGTTATGATATGACAAGAGAAACAATCCCCACACCGTTTGACCCCCCGTCCATGTAAACCGCCTCATTAGGTCTCGCGCCTCTCCCAAGAAGTAGCCAAACCAGGCCCCGTCGGATATATATTTCTCGTAGCTGAGGGCAGTATGGCAAATACAGCGAGATACTGCTTGCTCGGAGGGTGTGATTCAGAAGTTGCCATCCTCGCTAATGAATGAGCCGCGGATTGCTGTCCAGTTCCATTTTGACATACGAAGTGAGATGTATTTCAACTGCTACGGGTAGGAATGCGCAAATTTCACCTTCTTAGTTGTCCAAAGACCCGTATTTCGATGATCTAGGGGCCTGTGCCCAGTGATTCCACTCGTTTTGCGCGTCTGGCCAGAGAATGAGATCTATCCACCGAGAAGCTCAAACGGTACTCCGCTACCCCTTCTTTCAACCTCATGTGCATAATAGATGGAATTATCCAATTGACCAGCTCGGTTGGTAAAGGTCCGAACACTGCGGGGAGAAGCAACCCTCTTTAGCAGCATTAACATCATACCGCAGAGGCGCTTCCTGGAATCGAAAGCGGGGACTCGCACCGTGGACCTTTGACTAACTATCTAATGGCAGAAATTGATTTCTTTGGATTGCCCCCTCAATGTTATTACTGTACCTAAGTCACCTTTTAATGTTTCTGATAGCATATACACCCAAGCATAATGCGCAGCAAAACTTTTGGTCTTACAGTCCGAAACCACAGCTATAACCGACTTGTTAATAGACGGTGCTGTATATAAAGGGCTGATTATCAATTGGTATACAGTATCGGCAACACAGTATCGCCATACGGGCTTACTCAATTGTGGTGCTACACCTTATCGTGACGGACATTCTATATCATATCTATTTCTACAGTATGTGCGTGTGTGATGATTGTCTATGAATGAATGATATTCTGCTGGGGTTAGATATAGATATCTTAACTTGCATGGACATTCCAACCCCGGTGCACTAAACGACAGACATTAGAATTAATTTCAGCCATGATGTTTGTCTTCCACTCACAGCCCTACCTATTCCTAAACAAGGTATACTATATAAAACCCACGGAGTTGACAAAATCCCGCTTTCGCAACTCACCAACCAATCAAAGAGAAATGCCTCTCCGGTAGTATGACCAAGCTTTCCCGGCCCGGGATCCTTTCCTCGGAACAATCACAGTTGTCGGTATATAACATACAACCCACGAGAAGAGTCGATCATGACTTTGCCGTCCGGAAGCGCGGGATGCGGAATCCCGCGGATAAAGTATGAAAATTCTCGGCAGGACGACGGCTGGCACTGTGGAGCTGCCTTTGATAGGGAGAGACTTGTCTTAGGATATACTTTGGAGGATTTGAGGACCTTGAAGAGGGCTGAAAACTAATAAATACTTATTGCTGGCGTAGTGGATCTCATTGCATATTCCTCTTATAACTGCCCAGATTAGCTGAGTGCTAAGTATCGAGGCGAGGAAAATATTCCCGGTCTCTCATTCCTGATTAACTCATTGAAGAATGGTAGTGAATGCTTTCCTATGAACCAGAGAATAAACAGCAGGCCATTAATCCCCAACTTGCCCACCGAAATAGGAACACATTGGGCTGCGGTATCGGACGAAATGTAATATTTAAGACATAGATGCGCCCATCCTGCAGCCATATCCCGAAAAGGTAACAAATCCAATCCCTCGCCGCACCACCATGCAGGAACAACGCTACCCAGACAAGCATCTTCAGCTGTGCTTGGCGTGGATGTCGATCACCGCGAGATATCAATCAGACCGCTTGTCTTCAGCCACTGACATCAATGGACCGTACTCCCTGAAGATTATTTAATTAGATAGATAGTACTAGATAGACTAGATAGTACCACGGAGCATAATCACGCTCAAGTAGATTGCACGGTTTTTTAAATGAAGTGAAAGAGTAGAGCTTTGCCCGGTGAAACTTCGGGGGCATTCAACTTCAATCTCTGGGATAACCTGCCAATCTATAGGTCGAATTGACTGCATTAAGAAATTTCCCTACACATTTGCATATATTCTTCAGGAAGCAGTGAACCCACTAAACTAATTTTTCTAACGCTCCAAAACATAGTATCAACTCTCCACTACGTGGGTGGAGTCCGGAGGAATGCGTTCACATCCGACCCGTCACTTTGAGATATATGAACAGTAGACTTCTGCGCGTAATCCCTTTCCTCCTCTTCCTCCGCCCTCTATACAATCACGCCCAACAAGCCAAACACCAAAGAAAACCAAGAACCCTCAATCCAAACCCAAATCCAAATCCAAAATGCGCATCCTATCCTTCCTCAGCCTCCTCCTCGCCAGCGCCCTCACAGCCCAGGCCTGCACATACTGCCAATGCGAATTCCAAGACGGCTCCCACTGCTGCGTCTACTCCGTAAGTCCGAGTTCCCACGCAGCGCCCCAAATTCCAAAATATTGACCGTGGATAGGACGCCACGCAGGGGAACCTCGACTGCACAGCCGTGTGTAAGAATGCGCACCGCGCGGACGGGAAGAGCAATGATGACGGAACGGCCGGGACGGCTTGTAATGCGGGTGGGAAGTATAAGTGTGCTTCTGCTTTTACGGCGTTGGATCGGGCGCCTTGTTATAAGTAGTCGTTGTTACAGTAGTTTTGTGGGCTGAGGTTGAGTTGACGGGTGGGTGATTGGGGCGGGAAGTGTATGTATATAGGGTTTTTGAGTGAAATTTATTTGAAGTGTTTGTTCTGTTGGGGGTTTGCTGATACCTGTTCTTGGGGTTGTAGCTGTAGAGGGTTGGGGGGGCATTGTTTGCTAGGAAGTTTTGTGATATTGTTGTTTTCGTGTGCTGTTGATATGGATTCTAGTTATGGCTGCACGTATTCTTGGAAGGAGGGAGGGGTTTGTCCTTTCGGACACCCAAAGAGTCGTACTGAAATTGGAGCAAAATGTACTATACATGGTGAGTTAGATACTTATGATACAAATAAAACAAAAGTAAAAATATATCTTACACGCAGCCTGCTGAGTGACATTATTAAAATTGGACAGATACAAGAAGGAAAACTAGCCACCGTAAGTCACAACGGTCACATTATACAGCCCTAGAGTTGAGGAAAGCACTGTAGACGCTCAAGCAATGATATGCTGGGAAAAAAAAAAAAGAAAAAGAGACGACGCTTAAAGACAAGTGTATCCCAGTAATTAGGTCTAGAACACCGAAAAGAGACGTATACACCCAAGTATCCGACTAAGGTCGATGACTGTTGAATCGAAGATCATCGAAAGAAATTTTGAACGCACGGTGAAGCCAAGTAATCTTCTATAAGCAAACCTCCTACCACTGGGATCGTTGTGATCGTAATGTAGACTGGCGACGGATGATCGGGCTGTGCGGATTTCTATCCTTGGGATCACGCCCGGTGGACACGGCATTCTCCTGCTGAGCCTGGGACTGCCGGCGATCCATAGTAGCCGTTTGGCTGAGACTGGAAGCACGGCGGCGCATGCGACGCTCTGCATCCGCGATTTCATGGTGGTTCAAAGCCTCGGACGGAAGCAAGATGGCACGGTCTAGAGAGTATGGAAGACCACGATGCCGACCACGGATTTGCATGGCAATAATGACCAACTTTGATAATACTTGGAACTCGCTTACGAACGACGCGTTGACGCCCGGGTACCCAAGAGACAATCCAACCGTGCCATAGGCAGAGACAACCTCGAAAAGAACCGACCAAATCTGAAACGCATATTCATCCTGGCGCTGCAGGCGGCCGCCTTCGACAATGGCGATGATGAACAAGCCCAAGAACACGTACCACAAGTCGAAACTCAGCTGTCGCCGCAGATGGGCCCCAATGTAACTGGGCGCGGTCTGGTTCTCATCGTTATCGTCCTCGTCAGGTGCGTAGATCCCTAGACTCTTTTCTTCATAAACATTGGTGCGACGAAGAGATATAGCAATCGGGAACACTGAGATGTACATCATGATCATATAGGACACCTGAACGGCAGGGTGCAACTCTGATATGCTGACGACCGAAAAACCGGCAGTACGCGTGCAGGCAGCCTGGAAAAGGCCGTCGACGATTTTAATACCAGTAGATAAGGACGTGACAGCGGAGTCATTCAAGTCTAGAATGATGAAAAAGATCAAATCAATTCCGTTTAAGGCCACCAGGGTTGCAAACAGCCACCAGGTAGCATTGCGGGGGAAGAGAAGGGTGAAACAGCGACGTGGGTGATCCAAGAGGAATTTCAATTCCTCCCACAAGGACGATTCTTTGCGCACGATTTTGGAACAGAACCAGATGATCAATCGCAACATACAGGGAAAGCCTGTATTGCCGATAATGATGAGGAAGGTCAGCAGGAGAAGGGGAAATATAGCCTCCTGAAAGGAGGCCATGGAGTCAGGAGTGATGGAGAACCCGACATCATTGAAAGACGACGCAGCCGTGAAGATTGCCCACCAAGGCCGTCCTTGCCCGATCTTGGTGACAGCCGAGCCCCAACGGGTTGTCATGATCCACGGCCATAGGCAGATAATCCCCAGAAGGTGGAAACAGACATAGTAGCAGATCAGGACGACCGCCAATGTTTTCAGGGCGCGATACTCAATGCCTCCTAGCTCATCACGCTGCTCCTCCGTCAGATCGACGAACTGGGAATTACGGCCAACCGTGGCATTCCAACTCAGATAGGGTAGTGTGTTCCGGTCTCTTTCCTGTGTTAGCGATCGAAACACGCTGGTAAACGTGGGTCTCCGGGTGTTGGTGCGGGCCAGAGGCGACGATGGATCGTTGAAGTCCGCCGTCTCACGAACGGTAGGGCGAGTGTCTAATCGGGGGAAGGTAGAATTCCTCGTTCTCGTCCGCATCATATCAGGCTCATTAATGGTGATATGCGGACCCTCCATGGGTCCTACCTGGTCGTCTTCCTCCATATCGCGCGGGCTTCGCGGTTCAACAGAAGTATTACTGACTGTGCGAGCGGCCTCAACGCCTTCCCCCCCTCCTCCTCCTTCTTCCAGAACCTCAGGCACTCCGCCGCGGTCATATTCCCTTGGACTGGGGATTCTCAACGCACCCTTGCTCCTCCGTTGGTTCTCCAAAAAGGCAATGTGATGTTCGGGACTCAGTTGGGCCGGCACCCGGAGACTTCCAAATCCTCGCTGCAAGGTGCTATTGGGATCATTTTCTTGCTCGGAGGTATGGCCACTGTCGTCCTTTACCGCCGACGAACTTGGTCCCGAGTCACTGTCCGAGGGCGTCTTGTAAACGTCCTTGGGTTGCTCGGCGTCTCCCTGATTATTGCGTAACACTACAATGGAGCGACCGCCGATGCCAGCCTCTTCCCGGTTGTGACTTTGGGTATCCTTGTCTTCGCTCATGGTCCGCATTCTGGATCGGGTTTGGCGTAGAGCTCGAGCATCCCGAACGACGTGCTGAAACCGCTTTTCGAACCAGTAAAGTCGGACAAAAACGAGAACGGTGTTGATGAAGATGGGGGTTGTCAGCATAGAAACCCAATAGAGGACCACTTGCTGATATGTTTTCAGCAAGTTGAAATCCACTGTGTTCAGTCCGCTCTGGGTGGCGGCCCCCGCCGAGAAGAAGAGGGCATCGATATACGCCAGGTCGTTGCCCGGATAGATAATGATAGAGGTGAGTAAGCTGATCGCGATGATATAGATGTAATGGATCAAGATGAAGTTGAAGCGGAGATTCTTTACTAGTGGAATCTGCGACTTGGCCGACGATACCCCGCGAAGAAAAGCGGAAAACATCTTGACGGTTGCACCCCCGTCACACCGGTCCACACCGGGCTGGGATCAGACGGTGCGAACAGACGCAATCTCGTGGAGGGATTCTCGCGTGGAAGGTGAGTGTGAAAAGGGTTCAAGGGAAGATCGCGCAATTCTGATGTAGTGATAGTGTATTACTGAGTCAGTAAGTCAATCGATTATTCCAGATGCTGAGGAACGTGTCGCATCAGCGAACAGGCCGCCAAACCGACCTGTGTTAGCGTCTAGTTCTGGCGAGACGACATTTTAACCGGAGGTATGTTCGTGAATTGAAGCTCATGATTGAATAGAATTGGTCATGCGATAAGAAATACACTCTGTAAGCGGTGTCCGCGGGAACCTTCCGCAAAAGAAATGGAATGAGGAAAGGGGAGGGAAAAGAAATCGAAATTTCTCTCTTTCTTTCTTTCTTTTTTTATTTTTTATTTTTTTTTGTCCAAAGAAAAGAAAAAAGAGAATAGGAAAAATAGGTAAGACACTAAGCTGCAGAAAAAGGAAATACTAGGGAAGATGAAAAGAGTTAGGTCCAGGGAAAAAAAAATGTTAAAGCAATCATGAAATAATCCCTCACTGGGGGCAGGCTGGTGTGGATTGGATTGCGCAGCTAAGTCTCACTTTAATGTCTGCCTGAAACCAGCTGCAGAAATGCGGTGGTGGCCGTGCCATGCGCCACATTAGCAGATCGCTTACCCGGATTGGATATTTCCCCGTCGCGGAATCAACTTAACCTTAACTTGAAGGCGGTCAGTCGCTCTTGAGTTGCGTTGCTTTTTCATTTGACAGGGATCAATAAGCATCGATTGAATAGGTCTAGAATCTGTTCTTGTTCTCCATTCTGCTCTGCCTCTAGAAGACATGTCAATGACTAATCTTTGCGACACCCAATTAGACCCGACTATTTATCATCACGCGGGAATTCCCCGATATCTCGTGCAAACCACCCATGAATATTTACTATCGAAGCTGATCGGTCGGCCAATAAGATCCCATCGAGATAATAAATTTGCTGAGTGGAGCCACGTCAATCCCAATCAAATTCCGTCAAAGATGGAACTTTCGTAGGATTTATAGCTGCCAGTTATCTTCTAGAAGACCGAAGGGTTCTCTGATCTCTTATAGAAATTATAGAAATGGAAGATTTATGCCAGTGGCTAGTTTATAGTATTAAAGCATCTGATATACCCTCTTTGCATAAAACTTAATCTACCTTCACGCTTGGTATATCTAGTTTATGCCAATATTTCACTGACCGCCCTTTGTAGTATATACTTTCTGTAAATGCATCTTGCCCTTTCTTTTCTTCTCTTTCGAAGCAGTAAAACGAAAAAGGAAAATTAAGAGAGTCAATAGAGACAAAGAGAACCAAGCTCCTATAGTTAGTTACGGGGCAAAGCTTGGTAATTCCTCATCTCTGTACCACCAACGTCTAAGTTCAAGTGATCCAGGATCTGTGCGACAACAACGATAATACCGTATTCCTGATAATGTAAACTAGCCTAGGGTTATTTGGGGTCTTCATTGTCTGGATGAGAATTTAGTCATACCTATCTCTGTTGATCTTTCTACTTGCATATACTAATCCATAGCCCTGACCATAGTATCTTCCTGTTGGTATGAACGAACCCTGTCTATGACCCTTGGCCCTAAGTCTGGCCACAGCTACCGAGTAACAGAAGATATACTCTCCCCTCCAAATAGAACGAACTATTTCCTGGTGCTGACATACACAAAGATATATTACCGGGGAAAAAAAAATTTCTCCGTCTAATCAGCAGGTATCCCAGACCCATCCTAAGCGTCGTACAAACATGAAATATAACAACAACATCCTTTCCCCAGAAATAAACAACATCTAAAACGGCCACGCATAATGCGAGATCCCTAAAGTCACCACCCCGGCCTCGGGCAAAAACACCTTCGTCCACCTCGGCCTCCACCCCTCTTCATACGGCAGCCTCTCTTCCCCAAACACCGCCTCCATATACTCCTTCGGAACATGATATAGCGCCCCCTTCCCAAACACACACATAATCCCCCCCATCTCCGCACACGCAATGTAATGCATCCTCTTATTCAGACCCAACTCCGGATTCTCCCTCTTCTGCTCGTCGAACCGCTTCTTGCGATACTTCCCGACGTCCGGGATACTAAACGATGACCCGTTACCGGAGGATTGGAGGAATCGTTGATACAGGTCGGGGTTGAGATGGACGTAGTCGCCTAGTGCGCGGTCCTGGCGCGTGACTGAGACGTCGTGCTCGATGGCGTGTGGGCGGCCGAGTTGGTCGAGGTTGAGCACTGCTTCCCCGTCTTCGTTGACCTGGTTGGCGTCACGGAGGCCGAAATTCGGGGTGCTGGGGGGTTCGCCCGCGGGAGGGTCAATGTGGTCTTGGAACGCGATTTTCACGAGGCCTCCTGCGGTGTCGAAGCCGAGGCCGATTTGGCTGAGGGCGGCTTTGAGGGAGCTGGCGGTGATGTTACGGCCATCGCGGGCAATGAGGCCGTGGTTTGCGAGGGAGTTGACGATTGGGCATGGGGAGCGGAGGTCGTCTGGGCCGCCGCGGTGGTATTGGCCTTTTGGGAGGGTTTGGTTTTCGGTGGACATTTTTTTCTTATTTTTATTTTGATTTTGATTTTTTTTTTGCTCCTGGGAACAGCCGGGTGCGCGATGGTGAGAGGCGGTCAAAGGAAATGGTCAGGCTGGGGATTATATAGGCTTGGTGGTGGTTTAGGCTGATGCAAGGTTATAGATCAGTTAGTTTCATAGAGAGGGCGGTGATTGGATATCCCGTCAATCAGTTGCAGAGGGCAAATGATGATGGTGGCTGAGTGATCTCGGTCACGCTGCCGGGGCTGCATCCTCGTATTGGGGGGGGATATTGCATAAGTTGCTTTTACTTCTGGCCTTTCCTCATTTAGCCTTATTTATGTTCTCTGAGTCTGTCTCGTTTATGGACTGTGTATACGTAAGTACAAATAGTATACAACGCATGTCAGTATGCCAGACCAGGCACCTAGTCCATCGCTCCAGATCCTTAAGAATACCTATCGAAAAGCCCCTCCAGCAACTGATTGACCTCATCTTCGTTCTCCCACATCAACACATGACCGCTCCCCTCAAACACCTTCCACAAGATTCCCTTCCCGATCTCCTGATGTAAGATCTCTCCATGTCGAAAAGTAAGCATGCGATCTTCCGTCCCATGCAGCACAGCAATCCGCTCCCGCCCAACCGCATCCCCCAGAGCCTTCAGCTGCTCCGGCGACTTCTGATGAAAATAGCACGCAACAATCTGCATCAAGAACCCCTTCTTCGTAAAGCTATCGGGATCCTCCCGCTTCCTCAACTGCCCGGCAGCAAACCGCTCGCGCCTCGTCGGGAAGTTCTTCCCGGGATCCTCGTTCTCGGTATCCGGCTGATCGAGAAAATCGCCCCCGAAGAGCGTATGCCCCAGCCGCGCCAACTCCACATCCACATGCCGGGGGATGAACATGCTCGCGCGCTCGCGCAGGTTCTCCAGGAACGGCGCCGTGCGGACTAATCGCGGGGCCGTGCAGCACAGGGTCAGACTAGCCAGCCGGTCGGGGATGAGCATGCCGACTTCCTGGGCGATCATGCCGCCCATACTGGCGCCGATGACATGGACGGAGCGGGTGGCGGGCGCCGAGAGATCGATCCAGCCCAGGTGAATCAGAAGATCGACGGCATCCTGCGCCATCTCCGAGGTGGAGTAGTAGTTGACGGGCTTGTCGGATCGGCCGACGCCGCGGTTGTCGAACACCAGACAGGTGTATTTGGAGGCGTTCTGGTGGCCGAAATACTTGGTCTGGCGCTTCCAGTCGTCGTGTGAGGCGTTCAGTCCCATGATCCACTATGATTCATCGTTAGTGCTGCGTGCCGAGGACTGAGAATGTACGGGGTTCTTCTTTTTTCTTTTTTTTTTTTTTTATTTTTT